CAAAAACAAGAAGTTCTACAATTTTCCTATAAACAAACTTTGTATCGCTAAAATACTTAAGGCAAAAACTTTCTATTCCAACTGAAAACGGCGTGGTAGTCGCCTGCAGATCGTTATTAATCCACTCCCGAAATATGGCTAAATCAGCTATTAGCAAATTATTGACAGAAATCCTCTACGGCATCGAGAAACTGATTTACATCCGATTTATAGACAAACACTAAATAAGGAACATTTTGCTCAATAGCTACGCATCAGCAATCCATTCTATGCCAAACTTTGCGGTTCTTAAAGGGGAATCAAGACACGAGTCGAGCGCCAAACAACAACAAGCAGCCATGTTCATGTCAGACATCCTTGAGAAACTTGCTCTTTCACCTCGTTCAGCGCATCAGTCTCCACTTTAAATCAACAGATCTTTACTTATTTTGTACAACGAAGGTCTTTCCCAAGTTCCTGCTACCATTTCAATCTCAAGCAAGCTTTCAAAGTGAACAATTTGGTTCCTATGACTATGCAGCACGGTCGCTGTCACTGGTCGCGTGCTCTTTGACAAGTCAGCGGTCGCGCATGCTCTTGCAAAAAAGACCCCTGTTCAGCTGAACACATCCTCATGAAAAAATCTTTATTTACGCATGGGCGTGCGTAGATGAGGATTTTGTTTATAGCGGCTCACATAGGCCAAGCACGCGCGCTATGTTACAAATTTATTTTCCTTTAATTTGGATATGGCATAGATAATAGAAAGACTTTCTATTATCCATGGATATCGTTATGTATCACAATGAGTTTGAAAGTTGATTCTCAAACTCATGAATAATTCATAAGGAAAATATATTACACCGCAAGAAGACATAAATTTATTACTCACAAAAACAACTGCTGCCAGGTCTTCTCAAGAAGCCGTAATGGCCAGCCATTGTTCGAAAATGAATATAAAGAAGGATGACAGTCGTCTTCGCTAAAAAGACAAGTTTTCTGGATTTCGTCGAGCAAAACATAAACATCTTTTCAGCGAATCCAAACCACACTCCACGACTTCATGTGAGTATTTGAGTATTTTAACAAGTGAGTATTTTACCCTTAGGTAGACTTTAAGACTCTTTTACCTTTGTTTCTACTTAGTTTCCATTGATCGTTAACGAATAAATAAGCAAATTTTCTTTCTCAGTTTTACAGAAAGAATTTTCTTTCAAACTAGACGATTGTGGCGTGTTTGTAACCAGCCATATAGAAGCGTTTGTTTTTCTATGTCGCGCGTTACGAGAATTTTGCAGTTAATCAAAAAGCAAGCATTTTTGTCAGCTATGTTATAAAAGAATTTGCTCCTGCTTTTAGCTGTGCGTATATCGAGTTATGGATGCACTTCAGGGAAGTTTGGAGAGCACTCAAGAAGCTAGAAGCTACTCTTACGCATCTTCCGTGCTCTCCAAACTTCCCTCGTGCACCCATAACTCGACATACGCACGCTAAGCATGAACAATTTCTTAACTAAACCAAGGATAAAATTGAACCACAATACATTCATGTACAGGTTGGGGAAGGCCATTTTAATTTTAACTACGTCGGGCTATTGCATGACGAACTTTGAGATGAAAGCCAATGGACTACAACTTTAAAATGCTTAGCCTGCGTTGGTGGCGGAATTAGTAGGGGAGTGCTACTTTTTTGGAGTCGGAGCCACGGAAAGACTGTGAACAAGTCAAATTTTCCATTGAGGCTTTGCCGCTCGCTTCGCCGCATGCTTCGCGTGGCGCCAAGCGTGTACTCCGAGTATAATAATGCCGCCAGCCACGCCGGCTACTAAACGTTAAACCCGTGCTTTCAGGTTTTGTCATTCGCACTGGATAAGTCTACCAGGAAAAAACGTCTTCACGTGGTTCCCTTAGTCACGGTTTTAAAATCATTTAGTGCATTATCAAGATGAATTTTTAGTAGGCAAATCTAACAGCGTTTAAGACGAAAGAAAAGATGAACATCCGGATTCTTGTGACAAAGTGGCTTTTAAAACTAGTGTACGATGATGACTGTTTTGCAATGAGCAATGGTATTGCAGCGCTCTCAGCCCTATCAAGTGATGGTGATCTCCGGTACGTCAGCTCAGTTTGCTGGCTATTTAAGTTCATATTCATTCACTAGCTTCCACTGCGGATTTCTGTGCCAGTTGTTGATTGGCTCGTAGTACTGCCCCAGGACTAGGATATGGTCTCATTTGGAACAGTGGTCCATTGGCTGTTGTGTCTACACCAGTCTTAGCTTCTCCTTTCTTTATTAACCCAGTCGTCCATGTTCCCCTGCAACACAGATGTCACAACATAAAACAACAACAACAAAATATTTTTTTACTATCCATTGAGCCTGAAGCAACTTTTATGCAATGCAAAGAAGTTGGTTGGTACCAATACACATTTAACGTAACAGTGAGACGGGAAGGTACATTCTAATATGGAGGAACAATCTTGTACTATATTCAGTAGTTTTCATTTGAAAGTTTCGCACTTAACGATGTTACTGACATATTTCAAGTCAGCCTAACCTTCGATAACTCTGGATATCGCCAGGATGAAACACTCCTGAACTAGTGAATGATATAGCTGCTTAAATGATGAATAGTTTTTGCAGAAATTTAAAGCTAAATTTAAATAAAATTGGAGTAAATAGAACTTGATAAGCAAACTTCCTTAGCGGTAGGGATCTCCTTTGTTTTCTCTTCAGATTATTAGAGAGTTTGAGAAGGTACAAGGTGGCTGGATGGATGGGTCAGGTTTTTCAGGGACAATGCCTTCCAAGTTTGAGCATAAACTACGTCGACATAAACAAAGATTTGAAAAAATAACTACCACAGCTGTATTAGATAAAGAAGAAAATTTTTTATGATCAGTGTTACGATGACATCGGAGTCGTCATAGCAACGAAATGAGGACATTCTCTAATCTTTAATAGCAACCGTATTGCTCGGTACTGGGAGGATTTTTTTTTTTTAAAAAAACGTTAGCTGGAGTTTTTTCCTCCAATTGCAATCTCGATGTTCAAGACGTTAAAGCGGAATCTACGAGAGCGTTATCGATATATTTTGGAAGGAAGTTTCTATAGTTTGAATTCCGTAAAAAAAAAAACTGGACAGTCTAAATAGGCTCGCTTTAGGGGAGATACCCTGCTAAAATAAAATTGAGAAAATGTCGATGGTATGAAAGCGACATGATATTTGAACCAAATAAATCGCAACAAACTAGATTCTTCATACTTTGGAGCATCTGAATAAGCTGCTGGGTCCATTGGGTCGACTTCCTCAGCGGACTTCTTACGCTTCTCAGCTCTTAAGTCTACAGAGACAATAAATAACAATTATTCACCGAAGTGGAGGTGGCTAGTGGTACTCTTTACCGAGGCCGCGAAGCGGCGAGGTAAATATCCACACCACTAGCCACTGACACTGAGGTGAATAATTCTTTTAGTATACACTAAAACAGTGAGATAATTGAACACAAAAAAATGATTTTTAAGTCATTTACTGTTGCCAACGATTACATTTTGGCGCGCAATGACCGAACGGCCGCGGTCGTCGCTTTTTCTTGCCGACAAATAAACCTTTTGAATGCATTTGTTTAGCTCTTGCGGGGAAATTTCTTCAAAAGGAGTTGTGAATTCTTTTTGTATTTAAAATCATTCTGTAAAAAAGATTATTGAATTTAGTTTTATGCTTATTTATGAACAAGTCAACTAAATAAAGTAACGCAAGACTTTTGAAATTTGCATTTGTAAACAAAAGACTTTTTCACCGGTTTTATCGATAAATTCAAGTCAAAAAGACAAAGCTTTACCTCTTAAAACTTCCAAACCGAACTTCGTCACCTTCTTCGTATATTTCGGGAACAGCTTACTTGATTAGTTTTCAAATTTCTTTGTTTGTTACGGCAGCAAACCGGAAAGGCATTTTGCTCGCAACTTACGCGAGTTTGGCGTCGCTCGCTCTGAGGAACTGGAGGTGAATCAGTGAATAATGCAGGATATTCACTGATTGAGCACCCAATCAGAGAGCGCGAAAAACACTATCCACTGTTTTAGTATATACTAACAACAGTTATTATTAGCAGCACTTTCTCGGCTTTTAAAATATTCCAATCGTATTACATGAGCACCAATTCATCACTACCTTTCTCTTGTTTTCTTTTTTGCGATCCCTAAAGCAAAGAAAAAATACCAATGTCAAATTAATTACCCTAAAGTAAGGAACTATAACCAATGTGAGATTAAGTATCCTAAAGTAAAGAAATGAAACCAATGTGAGATTAATTATCCTAATAAAGTATTAAAGAACAAAATATGACGTGAAAGAAATGATATATATAATGTGAGTAAAGAAATAAAACCAATGTGTTACCCTAAAGTAAAGAAAACAACAACAATGTGATATTTCCATTGTCTTCACACCGGAAACAAGGAATTTTGGTTCCCAACGACAGGGATAAAATCCACACTAAAAGGTTCTTGGTTGTTTTGCAACTATATTCAAATACAAATCACACATAAATACATCACCTGCAAACATATATAACATGTTTTCATGAATTACTATATAACAAGAGGAATATGTTCATATCAGGTTTGTATGTAAGCTTACAGAGTTACACAGACAAATAATTATGTCATTTTATTTCATTTACTCACTAAATGAAACACTGTATTTTAAAACAAACCCTCGGTAATTCATTACGCTTTCCTTCCTACTATAGGTCTTTATATTTCTAGCTGTTTAGTTCATTACCTTCATTAGACTAGGGTGTTTACCAATACTTAGTACTTGCTCTTTATCCTGTTCAGACTCCACACCAGGAGGGGCTAAGATCTCTCTGTTGGGTTGAACTTCAGTGTCTTAAAACAAAGCAATAATGCATTGTCATTTAAATCAGATAATTTTGGCTAACATAAAGTCACCAGAGAAAAGATTATTCTGTTGTAATCGCACTTGGTAATTAGTTAAACAATGTGCCATATCCTGTCAGCTCCGTAGTCGGGAGAGGGTCAACTGAGGCACATAAATGTTGTAGTTTCTGTGTATGCCTTATAAAAAATACTACGGCTAGGACAAGAAATGACATTATTTTTTTCCGATATTGCCTTAATAAGAATTTTTGTCTTGGTATGGCCCTACATAGCATGCATATGAGCATAAAAACGAACTTCAAAACCCGTTTCAATAGGCAGCGTGACCGAGCGGAAAAAGGAGGAAGAGTGGCTGAGTGGTTAGCACGCTGGACTTGTGATTCGGAGGCCTGGAGTTCAAGTCCCGCCCTGATCACTAGCTGGATTTGTTCTCGGTTGTCCGTTCAAATCCTCGGCCACACTTGTAAAATATAGCCAACTGGTTCGCCTCCTACCAGTAGGGATTTTTAACCATGTTATGATCCATTCAAATTATTATTTGTTTCAAATTTCTAATTTCAAATATCAGCCATAGGTTCTTTCTGGGCAAACAGTAGCCTGCATGGCAGCAGTCATTTCTCACGCCATTACCATGACCATTCTATTACCGTATTACATGGAGGTCTACTTTTTTGCTTCAAAAATGAGCAACGAAAGTGAACATTCCAACAGCAAATTCTACTATCAAGGTCAACTGTCTGATGCGGAATTCTTCAAGCACCAACTTACTCCGATAATGAAGGGAAAAAGTCAAAATGGGAACCAGAAGTTATTTGTCCTTGTCTAATTGCTAATGGGTCATAGTGAAGTCGCCACAGTGAGGTGCGAAGCACCCAGAAAAATAAAGCATCTTATCTTCATCTCGAGAGCTTTATCAAAGCATGAGCACGGATTACTTCATCCTAGGTATTTCCAGAACACACCTCTAGGGCAAAGCTATAGTGTCATGTGCTTTGAAAAGAAGTTTACTGCAACTACCCGGGATAAACAAGCTGAATTGCCGACATACATTTTTTTAATTGAATTTTTTAATTTTATTGCCGACATAGATAATGGTCCAATAGTGCCTGACAAGTGTTTTGGCATTCAAAAAGAATGCAGTCGTAGCGAAAAATTAAAGAATAATGCATAAAAAGAAACTCTTCAAGCCCAAAGAAGTGAAAGCCATTGGAATTGATTTCATGGAGAAGAAACCATTCTCCTGTATGTGCCAGTGTAGTTGAAATTAAAGAAATTGGACAAGATAGAGATAAAAGGAATTGCAGGGGCTTTTCTTGTAATAGCCTTAACGTTGAAGAAAGTCTAGGGTAGGAGAGGGGGGCACTTATTTGAGGCAGGTGCACAAGTTGAAATAGCATACCTTTTTGACTGTTGACCACAGATGCCGGTGTGGTTATTTCTGCTGCTGGATCTACAAAAGTAGCAGTTTATGTAATGCTTATGATACCTATGACATTAACCTTTAATAATAATAATAATAATTTATGAACTTATTGTGCACAACGTAACATGAGAATGATCAGCTGTGCTTTACAACTGCATTACTTTACAAGTAAACCAACCAAAAAAATGTATTAAAAAAAATAACAATAAAAAGAATATATATGCATGCAAGTAAGTAACTGAATATAAAATTGATCACCAATATACAGGTCTAAAAAGATAAGTCTTGATATGCGCCTTAAAGCTGTTCACATTAGTAATCGCACGAAGGTCTTTCGGAAGAGAGTTCCAGAGCGTTGGCTCTGCTACCATAAAAGCTCTGTCACCTAACGTAGTCTTCGATCGAACAGCTGGCATAGAAAGTAAAATACTTCCTGAAGATCTAAGGTTATATAAAGACGATTTAAATGTTAGTAAATCGCATAAATGTTTAGGGGGTAAGGCCGTGAATTGCTTTAAACGTAATAAGCAGTATCTTAAATTGTATCTAGGCTTTAACAGGTAGCCAATGCAGACCACGCACAAGGGGTGAGATGTGGCAAAACCTAGGTGCATGTTGGGGCGTTCAAAGTCTCTGCAAATTGTTAAGCTGGTATTTGGGCAGCCCATACAAAAGACTGTTTCAATAATCAACACGAGATGTAATCAGTGCATGGACAAGCATTCCTGGCGTTGATTCTCGAGACAAATACCTGCAAATGCGCTTGATGTTATGCAAATGGTAAAAGGCAACGCCACAATATGAGTTGACATACACTGTGGTGAGCTGCTCATCAAACCATGAGCCTACATGTAGGTTTCTAGAGCTCTACTGTTACAGGACAAACATCAGTCGACTCAACCCTAATGCAATTGATGTTAAACTTTGCCAGCTGCTGCCGAGTGCCTATGATTAAATATTCTGTTTTATCATCGTTTAACATAAGATTATCTGAAATCATCCTACTCTTAATATAACTGATACAGTGAGTCAGTCATGGACTTGATGGCAAAATCAGCATCCGTAGATCGATTACGGCTGAATGATACATACAACTGTGTGTCGTCCGCGTAGCAAACAGTTTGCGCATCTAGATGGTGAAAAGCAAGGGGCCTAAACACGAACCTTAAGGGTCACCTTAAAAACATTAAACGAGAACTCTCCGAAGCTAAGGAGAGTTAAGGAGCTTAAGGGAAAAAGGATATAACCAAGTGAAAATTGATCATTTATTTCAGTCTTTAGTTTTACAGCTGTATGCAGCCTCCGTGCCTGAACTTAATACTGTGCACCAGTTCCTTCGCAGATGTCATAAACGCCGTTATATATCCTGTGCTACAGATATATACGATTTGCTTGAAAAAACAGACAGGTCAATCTCCAAGAAGATTAGTTGCCTACCTACTCACCAGCTGTACAATTTGTTGCCCAGAGTTAAAGAATCTTCAAAACGTCTGAGTTTTAACACGGAACGCTTTAAAGCTAGTTTTATTAATAGAATGTATTTTAAATATACTTTTACTTTTTAACTAATGATATTAAACTTGTAAATATAGGTATGTATTTTTACTTGCACATTTAATAAAGACAAAAAAATTACCTTGTTTTAAAGGAAACTGATTGGAGAGACTAACATTTACAGAGACACACTTGAACCGGTCAGATAGATACGATTTAAACCACGCAAGCACATTGTCACTTGGGCCATCAGTGACAATCAACTGCCTTTTCTAGATCTCCTGCTGAAACCAACACCCCAAGGACTAACTACTTCCATCCACTACAAAGAAACCGACTCACACTCATATCTCACATACACTTCGTCACATCCCGTCCGATGCAAGAACTCGGTCCCCTACAACCAGTTTCTGCGCCTCAAACGAATATGCAGTGATGAGAACGACTACAAGACCAAAAGCAAAGAAATGGCATCATTCATCCCGCAACGTGATTATCCACTAGCAGTTGTAGATAGAGCCCTTCAACACGTTGACACTATCCCCCGAGATACAGCCTAACGACCACCTAACGACGGACAATCCAAGAGAGAAGTCATCCCCTTAACCTTAACATACAACCCCATCAACCACCATGTAAAGAACATCCTGTCAAGAAACTTCGACCTTTTAAAATCTGACCCTGAAACTAAGGAACTGTTTGATAACTCGCGAGTACTCGGCGCGTACCGCCGCGACACCAACCTGCGTGATTCCTTGGTCAGTAGCAACCTTCAATCCCGCGCAAACAAAGAGGATGAACCAAATGGAACTTTTCCCTACCGTCGTCCACGATGCAAGACCTGTGCCCATACCAACCCAGCCTCCCAGATCAACACCCCCGGTGGACCTCTGACCATACGGCAGAGGTTCTCATGCACGACAAGTAACCTCATAACTTGTTGGGCATGCACTCTGTCGTACGTTGGCGAAACCGGACGTAGGCTTGGGGACAGGTTCTGCGAACACCTCAGATCTGTCTCAAAGAAAGCTGACCTACCCGTTACTAAACATTTTTCCTCCCCCGGTCACACAACAGATGATATGATGGTAGCTGTTGTGCGAGCGGGTCTTCACAACACCAGGGACAGACGTAGAGCGGAGGGCCGCCTAATTTTTAAATGCAAAATTCTACAGCCGCGCGGCACAAACATTGACTCTTCCAGAGCGCGCTTCAAATGTTGCCACATTTGAATAAAATGACGCGCGTTCAGTGTAACGGCATCTTCCACCGATGAAGGGACAGTAGTCCTGAAACGTCTGGATTTTCAAACATTTTAGCGCTAAGAACACAAAGACAAATTTTAATTGTAATCAAGCACCTTGTCAGTTATTCCCAAATCAGACTCAAGGCGACCAGTCAGCTTATCATGACTGAAAGCTTGGCTCCTTTGGCCGCCACACACCTTTTCCTTTGTTATGGTTAATTCAATGTATAGGTAGCTCTGTTTTTACTTCTTCATCTTTTCTTATTGTTGTTGAATTGTAATTGAATAAGTGTGAATAAATGAATTTGAACTTGAACTTAAGTAACAAAATTTGAGGAAAAAAAACCCAGGCCACAGTTCAGAAGGTTTGAGGACCATTAGCAGGATTTAAGTTCTCTAATCCCTAATGATTACATCCAATATAATTTACAAAATACAGTGAAACCTCAATATATCAAAGTGCCTATGGTCCAATTTGTTCTATATAATGAATTTAATTATAGGTAAGAACTTTATTTTAGCACGATAAAAAGATCAGCATTGCTGGTGGGGTCGTGCATACAACAATTACAAGAAAAATAAGGAGTACTGAAAGCAAATGTACGATTAAAAATTGAAAACTGTTAAAAATGTTTGTAACTGATATTTCAGTTGTTAGTTGTAGCTAAAATTAATAGGTTGTGAAAATGTACAATCAGAAATTAAAACTGTTAAAAGTATTCATAACCAAAATCTCTATTTTTAGCTGTAGCTAAAAGAGGTACGAAATTCATTTTATCAGTATCAAATTTTACAAGACAGCGTTTAAATTCTTTCAAGGTTTTAGCCCTTGTTTCCTTGTTCATTAAGCTGTTCCATGTGATTGCTCCTCTAACGCGTATGGAGTTCCTGATAAAATTTGTTTCTGGTCTTGGAAGAATGATGTTCTCATTTCTTCTGCGGCCTGAATTCCTTTGTAGAAACAAATCTCTAAATTCCGCGAGGTTCTTTTCCATATAAATTATTTTACTATTACTGAGGTAATCAAACTCATTCACCATACCCAGGACTTCGAGGTATATTGAGGTTCCACTGTACCAGCATAATTGACCACTCCAGAAAATACCATAACATACAGCTGTACCATAATGCTCCTTCTTTGTCACCCCAAATTTTGCATAAGTATTGTTTTCAGTTTCTCTTGGGGCCATTTAACTCCCAAGAGAAATTGAAAACAATGCTTATGCAAAATTTTGGCGTGACAAACAAAGAGCATTATGGTGTGTTATGGTATTTTCTGGAGTGGTCAATTACCAAAGAGCTCTATACATACATACATACATACATACATACATACTTACATACATACTTACATACATACATAAATACACATTACATAACCTTCATTAAAGTGTCTAATCGTTCTAGTGACTATTGGCACTAAAACTCAGCTCTATCAACTAATCTCACAAATTCTCTTTAACCAAATGAATAGAGACCATTGTTGATACATATGGGGTTAACACTTCATTAAAGCTTTTGATTTAGTTTTTCTACTTACTGAGTGGGTGATGCCAAGATACTTGATTTGTTATTGTGTTCCAGTAATAATTTGCACCGCTGCAAAAGGGAGGAAATGTGAATATTTCTATTTCTTATTATCTCATGTAACTTACATTCATAAGCACAGTTGACCAACAAAAGAAATAGAATCACACAATTTTGAAAATTCAGTTTTAGGTGTTTCTACAGCTGTATCCTGATAATGTTGGGTATATTTTGATTCTTGCTTAGTTTGGTTGTCATCATGAAGAAATCATAGTGAGGGTACTGATTTCACAAATACACAAGCTAAGCCATCTTAAAATACTATTCTTTGAATTACCAAAAAACTTAGAAGCACTGATAACATGCTAATACATGTAAGGCCAGGCACTATTTTGCTAAATGGGATGATGTTACATGTAAGCTTATTGACAGAGACCCTCACTAGTACTTAGATAGTGGCTATCCACATAAGTTCAGTAGAGAGAACAGAATTAAGAATCCAGAGACATGGATGCCCATGATTAGACAGCATAGCAGCTGCTTGGTACCATGATGGACAACTGAGGATACAGGTTCTATCACAGACAACACTAGGGATCAATGAGTGAGTTTAGAAACCATATTTTAAAAACAGAGGTGATAAAAGAAACAACCACACAAAAAAGTTTAGTCTAGACAAGTATAAACACTTTAACTCCCTGAGGTACAATCTCCGACAAAATTTTGAAATGCACTTGACTTTCACCCAATGGGATCTACATTTTACTCAAGATAATAAAGTAGGCAATCAAACTTGCAGCACCTTAAAGTATTTACAACACATCTATAAAACTGAATTTGCATTGACACTGAGCGGTGGATTGACAAAAAAAGGCACTGCTGAGGTTTGTAGACCACCTTTGCTTGCTGCCTATCAAGTTGGTAGAAACAGCTCTTAATAATAAAAAGAAAAGAAACTTGTTTCGATGGCTTCATGTCATCACTGTCAACAGATAAGAGATTAACATGATTTGTGGAAATATTTTTAGAAAAAGAAAGTGTGAAAAGTACATGTAAATTTAAGTGTGAAAATGCACAAACGACAATTAAAAAGAGTTTCTCATGGATGGAGTCTGCTTGAGTGTTTAGCTTAGGTCTTTTATCTCTTATAATCATACCTCAAGTGTATGTTACCTCTGAGTCTCTCAAATTAACAATAATTATTATCTATTTTATTAAACAAAAAGCTTAAGTGTGCACGGCTTTTATGGTATTTTTTTTTCAAACTTCCAAGCCTCCTTTAAAGTCAGGTGGTAATTTGCTTTGTTTTTTCTTTATATTCAAACAAAAAATTAATGAGTTATGCAAAACAATGATGAGACACCCTCTTCCTACATTTTGTACTTCATACATTAACAAAAATTCTTCTACAGTGTGCACTTGCCTGTTAGGGTCTGGCACTAGATACCACCCAACAGGTAGGGGAACAGTATTGTAGTCCTGCAACAACAAAAGAAGAATACTGACATGTGCAGTTAAAGACAAGACTAATACCTGCTATAAAGCAATACCTCAGTAGGGAATAAGCCATGGTGTTCTGGATTCTAAAACTGGTAATTAATGTATCAAACTAGGCCCTGCTCCTCTGGAGGACCAGGTTCAAGTGTTTCAGTGTAGTTGTGCTTTTGCTTTTACACCCTTGCATTGTTTTCTTAGACAAGAAGATTTGCTTCTTTAAAATAATACTGTCTTTTAGCACCATGGGGCATAAAAGGTAAACCTATAAGATGGGTAGGAATTCTCAAAGCTGTTTCATGCTACAAAAACCACAGCAAGCATCAGCCATTTAAGTTACTGTGTTATAATCTTGGCACTTAAAGGCTTATGCACTTATCAACACCGCTAATGAGCCTCCTTTGTGTTTACTCTAACTGCCGTAGGGGTCTTACAAATGGGTAATTCTCCCAGGTGTTTCATACGATAGAAACCATAGCAAACTCCAGGCCATTTAAACCTCCTTGGCCTTTTACCTTGACTTGATTTAACATGAAGCACCCATGACAGGAATACTACTTGTATATACTGTATGTTGAAGCAAGCAATTGAAAGCCTTTACGGTTGAATCTTGATAATCAGGACAGTTGAGACTTGAGTAAATAGTCCAAATAATCCAGAGTCCCGGTAACGAAAATACAAATATAATGAGACATTAATGTAAAAATAGGGAATAAAGAAAACAAAATTCAATTTTGAATTAGCTCCACTTGCATTTACGTACGGTCTGTATGTTACGTATTTACAAAAAAGGCACTGTTTCAAATGTTCGTGCATTTACAGCACTCTAAAATGTTCAAGCATACTATGCTGTAGTCTATTTTAACGAATTACCATGATTGCATAGCAGAGTCTATCATTCGTCAAAGCTGCATTATTTGGGTAGAGTCAATATTGCTTTATCCAGCTGCTCATCATTGGCAACCGTCAGGGACTTTCATTTCAATCCATCGCTCATCTCGATGCTGTTGGTGAATTTCAGGATCTTCTCTTTGTTTTTGCTTATATCTCTGATCTGCTACTTGCTGATTTTTAACTCAAGTGCTAAATTAATTTGTTCTTTTTCTCCATTCTCCAAATGTGAAATAATCGTTTGCATATCCTTTATTTAGAGAACAGACTGCTTGTGTTTTGTAGACATGGCTGTGATTTGAGTTTACGATCGATTGGTCTTGTGATTATGTAACCCACAGAGAATCAAGTATGACATTTCCTTAGCAACACAACAATTCAGCCAATCAGAATTCAGCTGAATGCATCAGTCAGAATAATTGTTCATCTTGTGCCTCTCGCACTTTTTCAAAGCGAAACAGATTAAAAACAGTGCCCTTAACACACATTTTGAAGGATTAAAAAACTTTTAATCATTTCAATTTTTAAAGATCACATATTATTAATATTCATGAAAAAAACAAGACCAGGGAAACAAGTCTGGATAATCGAAAAGTCTGGATAATCGAGGTCTGGATAATCGAGGTTCGACTGTAACTACCGGGGTATGGCCAAAATGACTAATATGAGAGTATGAGATAGCTAAATTATTGCACACCTAAATTATTGTCACTAAAAACATCATTACTGCCAGTATTACCTCAAGATGCAAGATAAAGTACGTTAAGTTAACTAAAGGGTTATTATTGTCCGCTCAGAATATTTTCCCATTTCTGTTTGGCTCGAAATAATAATCCAGCTAATTCTACATGACCAGCTAGCCTTAACCAATTTTAGAAGACGTTAGTTGGCGGAAATGGTGGAATTTCATGTGCTTTGCAAAGAAGAAATACATGTAGATGCGATACTGCCTTAAAACTTCATTAGCAAGAACAGATGACAACTGTTATTTGAGGAATATCTGCTGGACTAAACCTCCCTTTGTACGCTGAATTTTCCAAGGAAAAGGCAAATGAAAACAGAAACTTAACATAAGACAAGTTACGCATGTTTCAGCTAGTTTCTAAAGTATGATGCAATTTAAATGAAATATGCTCCTATGATCTGAAGAATAAATTATGCAGATATTTCTCTTGCCTTAAATATTTATAATGGAACTCCAAATGTATTTTTTTTTTGGTTTTCCTTACTTTTGGTGGAGGAGGGACTGCATTCTCTCCATATCTTTTTCGACAGTACTCAACACACGTGTGGTATGGGTTAGATGTGTTTGGGCATCCTTTAACTGATCCGGTAACTTGTGATGAACCGTCTGATTTCTCTTTGTCTAACAACGAAAAATGACAACAAAAGTGATAAAAAGAGAACTTGGTAGTCAAGTAAACCTGCCATAATCTGCTTAGTACATGTATTTCTTATTTCTTATTACCTGCTTCTAAACTTTAATCAATCAGAATTTTAGTGACTGTGTTATAACCTTGGAACGTAAAAGCTTATGCAATTACATTGTATTAGCAGCAACCCAAGGAAGCCTCCTTTGTCTACCCACTAACTTTTGGTCTTGCAAGCAAGTTTGCAGATTTTCACAAAATTAATGGTCGCTGTATTAACTCGCCTTAAAACTGGCTATCTACGTGTATACAAGGCAAAAGCAAATTCTACGGAATTTGCAGTCCAGTCTTCCTATGACGGGCACTTTTTCGACCGGCAGTAAGTGTCCTCTTTAAAGAACCAGACTAAAGATTAGCAGAGACAAACTCTGGGCATCCATTTAAGGAAGGTGTCTATAGGGGTTTCAATAAGCACCAACGACCGACGAAACACGTCAGTTATTTTGCTCAGAGAAGTCAGCTACCTTTCTCCCCAAAAGAAGAAGCAACGAGTGCTTATGATGTCGTAAACAAATAACATATCATAAAATCTGAATGAAAACATAAAGGCCCACTGGTTTTGAGTTATGCTTTAGTTAGCAAATGCTGTATTACAGTCAATTCTTCACACATTTCTTTGGAGGTTTAGACAGAATTTGTCCTCATTCAAATGTACATTTGTTCATTGCTTGTAAGTTGTGTTGCTGATAATCAGAACCTGAATGAAAGCTACATTTTCTTGAATGAAGAACACACTGTTTTGTACTCAATTGAGTCCCCAGAACACTGGAAATCCCATTTTAGGGCTTTGAAATTTCAAAATTTTCAGAGGGAGCATGCCCCCAGACCCCTCTAGAGGCACTTGATTAATGCCCCCTTGTTGATACAGTCGAGTGCTCTATTCAAACTTGCTGGCTACTTCAGTTTTTATTGAAACCCCTGTGTCTAGGTTATAGAAGCACAGGAGGTCTACAAAAACTGTTTCCATTTGCTTGTTTTAAATTTATAACAAATGTACCGGAATGTTGATCAAATCTGTGGAATACTGCAGGGAAGATTTAATTGTTACTGTAACAGTTATCTGGTGAGGCTAAGTTTGGTCTACAGGATTATGCAGATCGTGGTGGATAACACCCTTTGAGATCTAAATCATAAGTCAGCAGTTTTTACCAAAGACAGCGCACACTGAGCAAAAATAGGAAAAACTGGTTTCAAACCAGACGGGGGTTACGAAAACTAAGACCCTCGAAAACTAAGACCTAAGACCCGTCTTAGTTTTCGAGATTACGAAAACTAAGACCCCCTAAAATCGAATCCGTCGAAATATAAAGTCAAATTGTAACCGAAATAGGTCTGATCTATCAAATTATATCATGTTCGATCCTTTCCACCGAGTTTTAGGTCAAATTTAACGGTAAATTTAGGGGTCTTAGTTTTCGTAATCTCGAAAACTAGGACGGGTCTTAGGTCTTAGGTCTAGGTCTAGGTCTAGGTTTTTGAGGGTCTTAGTTTTCGTAACACCCAAACCAGACTGACCTATCCATTTCAGTATTTCATGATAAGCTTACTAATCAATCAATCTTCACATACATTTCTTATGAATTTAAAACTATTACAATAAGCAAATGGCAACACAGTTTTTATGGGCCCCTGGTGATAGATATGATGAAGATTGATGACTGTAAATTTACTTCTCAGTTGTTCAAACATTGGATAACGCTGTCCACTGGATAAATCTCTGTCCAGCGGATAGGTATTAGGGAAACTAGCGCTATCCACTGGATAAATTTCTATCCAGTGAATAGCACAGTTACTGTGCTATTCACTGAATAGAAATTTTTTTCAGTGGATAGCGTTACGCACCTTTTGTGGGGCTTGCAACTGTTCTAGAGTTTAAAGCCCTTAGCTAGGGTGAATAATAACCAGGAACTAACCAGCTAACCATGACGTCAACAATCAAATGCTGTGTCTAGCTAGTTAGTAAAAACAAACGACATTACTTAAATAAGCAAGCTCAACGAATGATGATGATGAGATCTGTTGCTTTTTAACGCGTGAACTTTTCAACTCCACTCTCGGCACTCTGTCGACTCGAAGTTCCTTTGTAGATCATGCAATCAATATTTTTTTACCTTTTTGGATTATTCCTCTTTTAGCAAGTCGAGCCTGTAACGCCGGGGGTAAGGGCATTTTGTACTTTTTTCATTAGACTGCAGCCTTCAACCTGTCAGTTCAGTTCAAACGAGTCTCCAAACATTTCTCCAATATGGCGGCGGGTTTGAGCCTGCGCTTTTCTTCATAGGTCAACCGCTGAGCCTCACGTGCATTTTACATTCAGGCCTTTTCAACATCTTCAACATGGCGTTGGAAGAGAAGAGGAGCTTGGTTGGAAAGTTGTTCGAAATCCAGGCCATAAAATTTGGCGATTTTACCTTGAAGAGCGGCATAAAGTCGCCTGTTTACATTGACTTGCGTGTGATAGTCTCGTATCCTGAAGTTATGAAGCAAATAAGCGATATGCTATGGCAAGTTGCTTTGGAATCGAAGTCCGATTTTTCGGTCATTTGCGGTGTTCCTTACACCGCTTTACCAATCGCTTCCTGCATTTCTGTCAACCATAACATCCCAATGGTGATGAGAAGAAAGGAGGCAAAATCGTATGGAACGAAGCGGCTGATAGAAGGAGTCTTCTCGCCTGGAAGCAAGTGCTTAGTAATCGAAGACGTGGTTACCAGTGGCTCAAGTGTCATGGAAACAGTTGAAGCACTTGCCTCAGCGGACCTCCATGTCACAGATGCTATAGTGCTGTTAGATCGCTTTCAAGGCGGCAAGGAAATGCTCCAGTCGAAAGGAGTAAAGCTGCATAGCCTTGTTACGCTTCCTGAAGTCCTTGATGTTCTACACCTTAAAGTCAAAATTGACCAAAACATGACCCAAAAGGTACGGGAGTTTCTCTCAGCGAACAAGTTCACTCCCTCCAGTGCAAAATCCACGCCACCCACAAGTAAAGGAAGTAAGCTTAGCTTTGAAGCCAGAGCGGGAATCGCCTCTAACCGGTTCAGTAAGAGGTTATTTAAGATAATGCACGAGAAGAAGTCGAACCTCGCAGTCTCGGTTGATTTTACCAATTGTGAAGATGTCTTGAACTTGGTGGATAAAGTAGGACCACATGTGTGCATTGTGAAGACACATGTAGACATTCTAGAAGATTTCACACCAGAATTTCCCAAATCACTGAAAAAGTTAGCAGAAAAGCACAACTTTGTTATTTTTGAAGATAGAAAATTTGCTGATATTGGAAACACTGTGAAGAATCAGTACTGCAAAGGGGTATATCACATTGTAGAGTGGGCAGACCTGATCAATGCACATGTGGTCCCTGGAGATGGTGTGATAAATGGGCTCAAAGAAATTGGTGCACCTCTTGATAGGGCATGTCTATTGATTGGTGAGATGAGTACAGCTGGAAGCCTAGCCACTGGAGAGTACACAAAAGCAGCAGTGGAAATGGCCAAAACACACCAAAAATTTGTCATAGGATTTATCAGCCTGTCTTGTTTAGTTGATGATCCACAGTTTATTCACATGACCCCAGGAGTCCAGCTCAATGCTGGACAGGATTCACTTGGTCAGCAGTACCTCACACCTTCTGATGTCATCATCAACAGGGGAAGTGACATCATTATTGTTGGCCGAGGAATCTATCAGGCGCAAGATCCTGTTAAGGCAGCTGTTGATTTCAAACAGGCAGCATTCAATGCATACATGTCAAGGATTGGAAACTGAGTGAAGTCAATCACCTATTAACCCCTCCATATTTACCTAAGATGCATAGATACCTGTTTCAGTCCAAAAAAGATTGGCCAAGGTTACCAAATAGGCAGCTTTAAAGGAATTTTTGCTTAGTGACATTAAGATTTGTCTATGCCAATTTACTTTTATGTTGTTATGCAACGTGCAGATGTTTGTGGGAAGGAGCTTTGCTTACAACTCAAGAAACAGCTGAGTAAGACTATTTACCTAGCCTGTGAGCTAGCTCTGCATTTAGCGGAGTTGTGTGTTTTGGGGGGAGCATGCTTTGCTCACTAGTAATGGAGAGCTTGTCTGCAGGTACTTGGTACTATTTCCTGTGATAGAGTGCTTTTTCTTCGGTCAACTAAAGTTAACTGTACAGTCATGTAAAATATGTTTTGGCTGAAGAGTGAAATGATAAGTGTAACATATTTTTGCATTGTCTACAATAATTTTTGATGGGATACATGTGTTGATGTCTTTTAGTATGTATTATACTTTAAAGAAGGCAAACAAACAAATGAAGGTGGTTGAGTTCTTAATAAGAATAAAAAATATGAAAGTAAAGCAAGGTTTCTTTCTTGTTATGTTTGGCATGCTGCATGGCAATTTAAAGGGGTTTTGATATAGATGGAAAAGGCATGAATAATAATGGTAGATGATTGCTTGAGGATAAATCTGATGTTCGGTTAAAAGATTGTCATTTATGCTGCTATCACTGTTGGAAACCTGTGCAAAATACTAATGAGTGTTCCCAAAAAAACATCCTGTGTGTTCCTCCGAGAAAGATTCTCATTGTGCTGCACAAAGAGAATCTACTAGCCAATAAATTAGAAAATTTCCAGTCATCAATAATTCCAGAGCCAATGATAAAGGAAATTACTCACCGTGACCTGTTTTCTGTGTGAGGAACCACTCGTTTTTGTACGCTCAATTCATCCTTTAAAATGATTTTGCGAGAAAAATCTCTATACACTGACAATTGAAACTATTTAAAAAACAAAACTCGAAGAGCGGTGATAAACATGATAAACCAATGAAAACATTGGTTCGTTAAGTTTACTCTAAAAATGCGATGATTTATTGTATATCACAACATTAGTTTGGGCCTTTGGTGGTGGATCAATGGGGTGAGTCCATACCCCTCTCCAGCAGTTTCTGACACTATTCTCAAGGCCGGAAATAAAGCAATAGATATCCTACAATTCTTAGTGCTGTATAGTATATATTAACATCAAATAGTGGGCATTGTCTAATAACATCTCCGAGTGTGGTCAGCTTTGTTTAGTTCCGTTGTGCACGCGTCATGGCTGAAGCTCCACCGCCTGTCCAACGCACACCCAAAGAATGTTCGTTAACTAGATATTTTAAACGAAGTTCGATTTCCTATTCAAAATGCTCCCGCTGCAGTTCCCCTTGAAAATGCTCCGACAACTGACCTCTTCGGGCTGAAAATGTTGCTCCACTCTAACGATTCTCGACGCTGCACTGCCTGTTGCCTTTCTGCTTAACGATATTTAATCTGCATATTTTTCTGAATTTTGTTGTTTACCTATTTGCTAAGGTTTCGTATTCAATGGTTTTTACAGGTACGCTGAGTTGAGAAGTGTGCAAAGGTGTGCGTGAGTGGTAGTTCTACCGCACAGACTGGACTGACCAAGCGTGCAAAAGAAGAGTATATAAGATCAAAGAAAAAGGGGTTAAGAAGAGTGCCCGAAGGGACAACATAGCAATTGTTAAGGAGGTAGGTAGTGAAGCAAAGAAGGCTTCAGCTATTAATGGGAGACCTCACGTCTGTTGACAAGATTACTAAGCAGTTAGGTGGACAGATTGACACTTACACCAAGCCAGGAAGGAAGGGAAAGTGATAACAACTGAAAGGGAACAGGCTGCCAGATCGGTCTAGCATTTCAAAGAAGTGCCCAAAAGGCTACAGCCTAATTAGCCTGCAGATCCAGACAATCCGAATGATCTTAACTTATACACCGACAATCGTGGTAGAGGGATGAGGATATGCCCCGTGGAGTTATAGATATAGATATAGGTAAATCATTAATATTCAACTGCGTTCCTGCATATAAATTATGTAATTTGTGATAATCCTATTAGCATAAATTACTATTTTGCCGGCACGAATCAGAGGGCTTGGAACGAGTGCTAAGCGCGGATAGGGTTTTGGGATTGTAGGGTGAGGCATTCTACGGCCAGCCTTCGCCGCGTTACGTTTTCTATCAGGTTTCGTCTTTGTTTTAAACCTGATAAGAGCAAGGTCGGACATTGTCGCTCAGAACAACGCACAACTACTTTCCCAGATCACGGATCTTGTCTCGACGTCCGTTTCAGAACTAAAAAGATCCAGCGAATGCAATGCTGCAGAACAGTTGTCGGAGATCAAGAGACTGAAGCGTGATACTCCACCATCCTTTACGAAGAAAAGCAACGAAGAGCAATATAAAGCCAACAAATCTGTCCTGGAAGCCGTGGTGGATGCCTCCGCTGCCCTATAGCGAAATATCGACGGAAAGTTAAACAATCCCTGGATCGAGGTATGTCTTTACTCAAAGAAAGTAGCTGATAAGTCTCCGTATGGATGGAAAACCGTCGTAGAATACAAACACCACGACTTGGCGGAGGACGAGGAGGATGAAAAGAAAATCTGCAGAGCAGAGGCTCGGGCTGGAAAAGCCTCGAAGCGTTCCGCTACACGTTCTTTTGGTTCACAGCGTGGTGGTTCAGGGCTGCCTACCTCACGGAATTCACAACTTGGGGTTGCTCAGCTTCCCAGTCCATTAACTCGAGTTGACTCACAGCCTTCCGTTAATAAATTTAGTGGTCTCTGTTTTTCTAGCGGCAAACCTGGTCACTGGAGAGCTGCCTGTTCGAACACTCCTTTTGCTACTGCTTTTCAGAGTGATGAGTCGGGAGAGATTCCCAAGATCATGGTGTAATCAGTTCTGTTTAATCTCGCTTTAATTCAGATCGATTGATGAAATTTTCTTGCACTTTTCTTCTTTTTTGTTTTTTCTTTTGTTTTTATTCCACATTATTTGGTGACAATTAATTAATTTTTTCTTCTATTGTTTATTTTGCATCTTGTAGATTTAGAATCGGAAGGCGTTGCCAAGGTCGGATTCTGACGCCCTCTTTTCGGAGGATTCATTGTTGTCTTATGAGTTTAAATCGAACGATGTTGCTGTTTCTGTTAGAGGCAGATTGCGCAAATCATTTCAGTTCTGGAAAGACATTGACGCGCCTCGCTTCATTACCGACACCATTGAATTTGGCTATAAGTTGCCACTTCTTCATCGATCTTCAATTTCCTCCACCTTTTGTTGCGAAGAACAATAAGTCAGCAATTCAAGAATCTGCCTCTGTTGAGAGTGCTGTTAGTGAGCTTTTAAGTTTGGCGTGTATTTCGGAGGTATTCATACCTCCAGCCGTGTTAAACCCATTATCCGTTTCCATTCAGAAGTCAGGGAAAAAACGCTTGGTTTTGGATCTTCGTCATGTCAATCAGTATCTCTTTTAAGTCCAATTTCAGATGCGAAGACGTATCTACCGCAGGGGAACTGTTGAACGCTGGGGATTTCATCTTTTCCTTTGATTTGAAATCTGGCTACCACCACGTAGAGAATTTTCCAGGGCATAGGCAATATTTCTCCTTTTCTTGGACTTTTTCATCCGGTCACACTAGACATTTTCATTTCGAAGTCTTGCCCTTTGGCATCAGTTCCGCGCCCTATTTATTTACAAAAATTCTAAAGCCGCTTGTTAAGAAATTGAGATCAGAGGGGAAGTCGATAATTGTCTCTTTAGATGATGGCCTGGGTTCTGCTGCTGGTTATATCAAAGCTAAAATCGCCAATTTGGATGTTCACTCTGATTTGTTGAAGTCCGGTTTTATTCCAAACGGAGAAAAATCCATTTGGGATCCAACTCACGTGATCGCTTGGCTTGGAACTGTTATTAACACTTCTGAATGCATTATCTTCGCGACGGATAGGAGAATTCAATCCCTGACGGAAGATTTATTGTATCTTCTGGCGTCTCATGGCTCCCTTTACCAGGTTCGCAAGCTCGCTAGTGTGTGTGGTAAGATTATCTCCCTTGGGAACTGTACCGGGAGTGTAACTAGGCTTATGACCAGAAATACCTTCGGTGTTCTTAATTCTGCCCCCAACTGGAATTCCCTCGTTTCCGTAACGCCCGAATGCATAAACGAACTAAGCTTTTGGAAAGACAACGTTGCTCAAATCAATGGTGTACCTTTGTGGCCTGTAAAACGCAACCGACAAAGATTATTTACTCTGATGCATCCGATTCAGCCTGCGGGAGTTATATCCAATTCGTGGATGAAATCTTTCACAAAAATTGGTCCGATTTCGAGGCCTCTCAGAGCTCCACATTTCGGGAGCTTCTTGCTGTTTCACTTTCGTTACAGGCGTTTACCGATTCCCTCGGTGCTCAAACTGTTGTCTGGTACACAGATAACCAGAACGTTGCCCGCATTGTGAACATTGGTTCTAAAGTTCCAGCCTTACAGAAGATGGCCCTTGATATCCATCGCGGTTGTCTCTCACGGGGCATCAGCATTGATATGCAATGGATCCCCAGGGACTTCAACTTCTTGCAGACGACATAAGGAAGGTGGTGGACTACTACGACTACACGATTAACGAGTCGGTTTTCTTTGCTCTTGACGAGCGTTGCGGTCCTCACACCTGCGATAGATTTGCCTGCCATTACAACGCGAAGCGTCCGGCATTCAATTCCCACTTCTACCAGCCTGGGTCATCCGGTGTCAACGCCTTTGCTCAAGACTGGTCCAAGGCCGATAACTGGCTCTGCTTTCCTGTTTGTTTGACATTAAAAGTTATCAACCACTTGCATGCTTGCAACGCTGCTGGTACTCTGGTTGTTCCCATTTGGAAGTCAGCGCACTTTTGGCCAAGCCTTTGTTTCGATGGCTTACACTGGAGCGGTTTCGTCCATGATTGGATTATTCTTCCCAATCTGCCGAACTTGTTTGTCAGAGGCAAAGCCAAGAATTCAATTTTTGGTCGAGGTCCGCTCGAATTCTCGCTCTGCGTATTGACTTTAGTATTCCTCGAAGGCAAGGCCAAGCGCTCATTTGCGACGCTTTTCGTGTTCCCATTATTTAGAACAGGTTGCCGTTGGTTATAAGCTTAACGTTAACTGTTATTGACGTTGCTTTGCATTCTTAGCTGGAAGTCGCTCAAGTTGGTTTCATGAGCACGGCCTAGAGGCCCCCTAGACACGCACTTGAGGGGTGTTTTCTTTTTGTCCTCATTCATTTTCAGTTGAGAATTGTCGAATTTTGTTTTAAGACCACGGACTGGGGGCCTCTTGAGAATCACCCCTTCAGTGGTTTGCTTGCGAGTCTTTCATTTTCAGTAGAAAACTGTTGAATTTTGCTTTAACTGAATGGTCTGGAGGCCCTTGAGACACAACCTGGAAGGGTATGCCCTTTGAAGGCAGTAGGTTTCGTTATTGCTTGTATCATGCCTAAAATTAGTTTTACCTATTTGTTTTTCTAGTGTCATATCGGCTATTGATACTTTAATAGGTTTGCCCCGAGTAACCATGTATAATGGTTAGGAAGCCTCGTGAGGTTTGTATATTATATATATTTTGGTTTTTCTTGGTATCTGTTCTTTTATCCGTTCTATTGTCTTCCGTCTTCTTTCATTACTGTGAAGAGTTTCTGCTTTATTCTTAGACATCTCTGATACAGATTTCTGATCTACGCTCCGGCTAGTCTCACGTGAAGTTGCTCTATTGTTGGGGAAATTAAAATCTACAGCTCAGGCTTCCAGGGCCTCCGGGGCCTCATCAAATTACGTCAGGGCCTTCAACAGATGGAGATCTTTTGCTGCAAACGTCCTGCGAATCGCGGCATTCCCTGTGGAGCCCATTGACTGGGCGTTGCTCCTCCAGTATTTATTGGATTCTAAGAATTCAGTTTCTTCAATAAATTCTGCCTTCTAGGCGTTCAAGTGGTTGCACGATCTGGCAGGTGTCTCCTCTCCAACAAGTCATCCCACAGTAGTAGCGGTCAAAGAGGGCGCGGTTCGTCTCGCCTCCTCTCCTGTAAAAGGTCGAAAGGAACCTCTCGAGGCAGAGCATCTCAGAAGATTAGCGGAAAAAACTGATACCAATGATCTTTTGCAGCCCCGCAATCTAGTAATGTTTTTTTTAGCCCTTTCGGGCTTTCTTAGATTTTTGGAGTTGTCGCTTATACGCCCAAAAGACATTGTTTGGCGAACGATTTATTTCCGTTTTTATTTAAAAGAGTAAGGCTGATCAGCTGAGGGAAGGGCAGTCAGTTGTAATCGCCGAGTCGCGCTCCAGTACGTGTCCTGTTGCCTTGTTAATATTATATTTTATGTCAGCTCAGCTTTTGTTCGATTCAGACCAGTACCTGTTTAGACCTATATCTGCCTCCCGTAATTGCAAACGTGTAGTCTCCGTTTACAAGGCCATTAGCTATTCAACCTACAAGGAGTCGTTCAAGACGTCTTTTCAAGGCATCGTAGCGGGCATTTCTAAGTTCAGTACTCACTCTGCCACTTCAGCAGCAAACTCTGTTATTTCCGAGAGAAATCTCCAACGTCACGGCCGCTGGGCCTCAATCTCTGCCAAGAACACTTACATAAAGGACTCTTTAGCTAGTAGATTAGAGGTTTCAAAATCATTGTCACCTTAGCTCAAGCCCTTTCTTTTTATCTCTACGGTGGCTTGGCTGTTCAACGCGCCCATATATTATCATTTTGTGTGCTCGGTCGAACAGTGGAGGCAAAATATGTAATTTGTGATAATCCTATTAGCAAAAAATTACTATTTTGCCGACAAGAATCAGGGGGCTTGGGGCGAGTGCTAAGCGCTGATAGGGTTTTGGGATTGTAGTTTGTACTGTGTGGCCGTTAGGTGGGTGAGACATTCTACGGCCAGTCTTCGCCGCGCTAAGTTTTCTGTCAGTACTCCATCATAATGGCGTACGGTTCTTGGCCAAATTTCAGGAATTCACACACATTTCTATGGCCCTTTACCGTGTTAAGTATTTCAGCCTCTTTATCAAATCTTCGTTTATCCTCGGCCGACTCTCCTTTCATTTTCTATACGATGACATTTTGCTCTTCTTTTTCGTAGCTCACCAGATACACAGAGCCAAACGTCCCACTTCCAAGCTGTTCTTTTATACTTATATCTCTCCATTCGAAACGCGGAAAATTAACAGGAGGTTTTCGTTTTTTCCCGAGACACGGTAGCTTGAAAGAAGCTGCCATCTTGATGAGGTCAAAGGTCACCAGATCATTTCCGTCTCCTGTGGCATCTAGTTTTGAAGCTAGAAAAAATAAGGTTTTGTACTTTTTGCTACGAATTGTTCCTTTTACTCATTGGACATGTTGCGTGACAGAAAGCAGGCGATCCGAAAATAACACTATTATTATTATTACTGTTGTTCTTCTTCTTGTTGTTCTTCTTATTCTTCTTCTTATTATTATTATTATTCAACTGGCTGCTTAAAGATTCGATGAAACACAATTACGATTATGAACTGGTGATAAACAAGTTTCTTCGTGGCCAAAACTTTTTAAATGGTTTGTAACTGGAGCATATAAACCACTTATGTAGCTAAAATGTCAAACAGGGGTTGTTACGCTCGCTAAACTGTCGGAATAAAACAGCCTAAAAATAAATGAACAGAATTTTTAAACGTAAATTAGTTTTTGTTAAAGTCTGTTCACCGTTCAGTTTTATCCGATTTGCAAACGCGGAAAAAATCTAAAAAAAAAAAAAAGACGTCCGCATGAGCCTATCCTGAGTCCGCGTTTTACAAGTCCGCGTTTTACTAGTCCGCGTTTTATAAGTCCGCGTTTCACAAGTGTGCGTTTCACAAGTCCTCGTTTTACAAGTCCAATTTAGTCCTCGAAATACAGTATGCCCAATCGATAAACCTTTTCAACATAAACTGGCCCAGGAAGTGTGTTAGTCCAGGCGGTTTCTTTCTCATGTGATTCGGAAGCTTCAACAAAGGATAACTTTGAAAAAAACTTTGTCGCTCTGGAAAAGTGTCTTAACGTCTAGTCCTCTAGAGACTTAACACTCTTTGGAAAAATAACCATTATCAAAAGTTTAGCTCTTTCAAAAATAATTTTCATTTCCTCTGTACTCAGCGTTCCCACTGGTTTTGTCAATCAAGTGAACAAATCTGTATGCAACTTTATATGGAACCACAAATCACCCAAAATCAAGCACTCAACAATGATTGGGATGATAAAAGACGGCGGACTCAGCATGCCTGATTTCGATATAATAGATAAATGTTTGAAGGCAGGGTGGGTGAAACGTCTTTTAGACCCTCAAGCGCAATCGCGGAAGACAATACCGTTTAGTCTGTTAGACAGTGTGGGTGGCGCGTTGTTATTCACCCAAAATATTTCCCCGATTCTGATTAGCTAAAAGCACACGCATAATTCACCCTAACCAGTTACTGATGACCAAATTTGGAAGAATTTTGTGTTTAGCAAGGAAGTGACGTCAAAAATTCGCAGGGTTCTTGCAGGTTAATGCACCGTTAACCGAGAAGACCGGGGAACGAGGTTGAGTTGGTTTGGTTGTGAAAACAAAAAATGGCGGACACTAGGCGAAATTATAGCTAAAAACATGGCAAGAACAGCTACATCACAACTCGAAGGGCGACATCTGCTATTTGGAGAATATTTGCGGAGCTCAACAACCCAAAACGAGCACTTTCGAAGGTGAACTTAACATCGATGGAGGTAAGCATGTTTTGGCTTTGTTTTTAGACTAGGAATTATTTTGAGTGAACAATAACAAAATCATTGAATTCGGCTTTCGTATCATATGAAGAATTATGGAGCTCTAGCACCCTCCTCGATCTCCATAATTCATAAGATACTCAGGCTCATTCATTAATTGTTAATTATTTGTTGAGAATTTTGCCCGAGCTCCTCCTCCTGCCGCTTTCTTACAGAGATGTTCTCAGTCCTTGGGAGAGCATATCCATGCACACTGCAAGGACAAAGAACGAAATCGAAAATGAGATCATGAAGACACTATCGGTGGCAAAACTGTTTTTTATAAGCAATGGTATGATGCTGGCGTAAAGACCTTGCCAGAGATCCTAGACAAGGAAGGAAAGTTCTTGACGTTTACAGCAATCAAGAAAAAGTACAAAATTAACACAAACTTTCTGTGCTATATTGGCTTGTGTTACGCAATACCAAAGCGTTGGAGGAAAGTCTTCAGAACTGTTAACGAAAATGACTTGGTAGTTTCGGATGAGTCAGTTCAGCCATTTAAGAACTTACCTCCCACTTGCCGGCAAGCACGCGCGTTGTATGTATCTAAATCTTTCCAAACACTTATATCAGAAGTTCGTCTCGTTGAGGCTGGCTTCACAGATCAGACAATTGCGGCGTTATACGTTCTTCCATTCAAGCTCACAAAAAAACACATAAAGCTTTCTATGTTTCAGTTTAAAATAAACCATCACATCCTGTACACTCGCGAAAAACTTTTCAAGGCCAAAATTACTGACAGTGACCCCTGTCATGTGTGTGAATCGATGCAGACCGTAGAGCATCTGTTTGTAGAATGCCAGCATGTCCACTGCTTTTGGAACCTTTGTACCTCTTGGTGAAACGATAATAACTCGCCCTTGGTGTCCTTGACCAATGACGATAAGATTTACGCATATCTCCCTGAGAATTGATCCCTCCATACAGTGTCGATACGTTTAATCTTTGCCTGATAGTCGCTCGTTTTTATATCTACACTGCAGCCAAAGAAAGCGAACCATGTAGTTTCTTAGCCTTTTTAAAAAGCTTTTCTGAAATACAAATTATCTATAGAGCCTTCAAGTGTCCGTGAACCCCTGTGCCTTTAGCCGCAAACAAGCTTGACTTGTTTAGTCATTTCTGTTATTTGGTTATTTTTTATTTTACCTAATTATCTAACTTTTTCATTTTTTGTAATTAATAATTTCAACAGCCTGAAAACCAGTTGTATCTTGTCTGTTCCTTTTATTTTAGTTTTGTAACGTCGTTCTTTTTTTGTTAATGTTATATATTGTATTGTACTTATCAATAAACTTCAATATATTAAAACAATCATTACGTTTACGGTGGACGTTTATTACATTTATGGTTAGTGTTATGTTTATGGTTGTTATTAAATTTATGGTTGATACAATGGGTGGGGTTGATATTGAAAACTGTGTGTTTAACTCCGCTGTGCCGTAATTGCAGGTCTTCGAAGTTCGTGAAATGCTCGAATAGCCGAGCAACTGGTTCACTGCACTTTCTAACTGAGAATACGGCTTTAATAGGACAAAAAATTGAACGTTGCCCGCTTCAGCATATCACATGCTTTGCTAAAATTCTTTGTTCGGTCCATAGACATTTTGCATAAACACACACGTTTTCCGGAATTAGAGCGATGAAACTCTGATGTAACAACCTTAACGTTAACCTTGTATCAATTAAGCTTTGAGGATGTACCAAGGTTACTAATATTTTACTCAAAGTAAAATACCGTTTTAATCATTTTTAATGAAAATACTTTAAAGAAGGTCACATTTGTCAAATACTTAACCTTCTCTGTACATAGATAGAGACCTATTTTACAATTGCATTCCACCTTCAAGGCGCGAACACTAAAATGACCTATCGCAAGATTATTTAGCCTTAAACCTGGACGAAATCCTCAATCTTGCCAATGCAGAAAAGGTCATTAAGCAGATCCCAAAACTTAAGACGAGGAGAAAGACAATACTTGGCTTGACATCTATCATATCATGGGTCTACTTAAGGATCTACTCGCACAAGCCTGGAAAACCGGTAAAGATTTGAAGTGTTTGGTTCCACTGCTGAGAAGGTAATATCCGTTCTAAATTTAGCCATGTACTTCAACTCTGTTTACCAGCTAATGTTTGTGGAGCACAGATTTCCGCAAGAAAAGTTTACCCATGGGCGAATGTGAACAACGCGAGCCAGTAATGTCTACTGACCACGTTAGTAGCCTAGCGCTGGGGATGGATCATCAGTACTATGAAGGACATGCGCACATTTGGTCTGAAGCTTTTGAACTGCTGATTTGGTGATGTTTCTGCAGTAAAGTATCGTCAGTGAAGACAGCCTCTTACATCCCTTCCTCAAATACCTCAGTGATTTGTCTCTAAAATAGAATGTAAATGGAGAGAATTAAAGCGGTGTTACGGCAAGCATAGCCTGCGAAAACAGCCGTTTCTCCTCGCTCTTCGTCGCTGAAGACGGTTCCCAGTGGCGAAACGGCTGTTTTCGCAGGCTACGGTAAGCAACGTTACGGGACAAAGACTGCGGCAGCAAGGGATAAAAATTCGATGTTACTAGCCAAACTGTCAGCCAGGAAATAACTGAATATTGTACTCACGTGATGTGAACGCAAGCGGACAGGTCTAATGCTTCAATGTAATGGCATACTCCTGATAAATACTGAAGGCTTGAATCTGTCAGCTATATGGGAAAATATAAGTATATATAAAAAAGAGAAAGTGGAATTACGCTCTCTTTCTTGTAAGCACAATGATAGCCTGTGCTACAAGCCTAATCAAAATAAGACGCGCGCGATCTGGAGAAGGGAGTGTTGGCCCCTCTCTCCCCAGCCCCGCTCGTTTTTCCCATCACTTTATACTGAATATACTTTACTGAATATACTTTTTTTACTGAATACACTTTATACTGCACGACTATCTTGGAGCCTGGAACAGGCTACCGCAATGAAAAATAAATAAGTTTGACATCGCTAAAGACTACTTTAAACAACTCGGCAAATTAATTAAGTAAAATAGGCTTCGCTTTGAGGCTTTGAGACAATAAGAGATTCGAGAGAGACTTCAATAATTCGGCAGGTTGATAGTTAAATGCCCTGACCCAGCCTTGTATTTAAGTGTTTTTCACCTTTTTTATCTTCATTTTCGTCCAATTGACATTTCAACAGATCTAGATCGATTATTATTGGATTGGGAGGATAAAATCGATCAGCCACACAGTGTCAACTTTCAAACACAAGAACTAAAGAGTTTCCCTGACTTTTCATAAAATTAACGGACTTTTCGTTGTCCTTGAACAAGTGTTGTTTTTCTCGAATGGTGGCAGCCGTATGTAACGCTTATAATTAACCTTACTTTAAAAAGAGACAAAGGAAAAAAATACACTGTCTTAACTTACCTTGCTACATCCTGCAAGATTCAGAGTTCGAAGCAAACGACAGCAAAACGCAAGGTTTTTAATGGCATTGTCAGTTAATCCCTGAGAAAAAGGAAGGAAACAAAATCCTACATTAAGGGAAACTAAGAATGTACAATTCGGTATTTCCAGTGGACAAGATGTGGCAAAGCTTTCGATTATTGTTCTTAATTTGCACATGATAACGTGTGATACACTAGGAACAAAAAATAACAACAAATAGAACGATCAACTGAACGCGAGTGGGGCCCACTAACCTTGCAATGAGACACGTTAAAGTTCTCGAGTTGTCTACACTGTTGACACATTTTCTGTGACAAAAATTATTATTATTATTTATTTGCGATTTAATAATCTAAAGAGTGTTTAAATTTAACGTGCAGTGTAAAAATCAAAAGCATGCGTAAAATTTTAACTTCTCTTTTCCTCCCAAAAATCTGATTTTGCAGATTTTGAAGACTTAACAGGAAGTCAATGTATATTCACACGGCTGATCACAATAAACTAATTCAGGAGGTTAAAGTTTCGCCAGTATAGTAACCTTTCAACCTCGTTAAAGATGATAGCCTGAAAAGGTAGACAAAGCAGGCTGCATGAAAATGAAGACATTCAAGTCGTATAGCATTGGTAAACTGGGAAAACTTGAGTATAGTATTGACAAAAAAATGCGAAATCTTTCCAAAGCCAAACAAGGTATGCAAACCATATACATTCAACATTAATCATAAATGAACCCCTTGCATTGCTAGTAAAAGCATATAGGGGGAACCTAACAGCACTTGGCGCCCCCCCACACACTCATATCTCCCAAACACATGTACTGTCCTAACAAATTACAATTACTAAAACACAAACATATGAAGTAAACCTTACTATCATAGGCGTACCAATCACGGCGCATACTAAAATCCTGGTACAAAAGTGGAGGCCCAGAACAGGATATTAGCGCTGTTTCGCATACGGACTTAAACTAGACTTTAGTTTCGTCTGTGGCGCAGGCTAACCACCGTATTTACTTTGCGTCCATCGACAATGTACTGTCCGAGCGTGAGCTCAGGTTTAGCGGAAATGAACAGTAAATACTCTGTGCTTTGGGAAACATCTGTCACAGTAGGGCCATTTATACGAGGAAAAATAAGACGCGAACTTTCCGTATAAACGGCACATTTCGTTTAAAATAAGACGCGGCTTAGCTAAGACACTTAGCTAAGACAAGAAAAACTTCGTATAAATGACCTTCGCGTCTTAAATAAGACGCGAACGCATAGTACACATGCGTTAATTTTTGGCGCGCCACGTTGGGTTGCTGTTGCTACGGACAACATTCACATGAAAAGGAGTCAAGAACAGAAATAAGACGCGAACCATTTATACGAGCTGTTCTCTTCTTAGATAATACATGCTCGTATAAATGGTACAGTTCGCGTCTTATTTTTCCTCGTATAAATGGCCCTACTGATACACTTGATAAAGAAAGCTTCTCCCGCGTTGCTAAATTTTACAAAATCGACAGCGAGATTCTCGAAGCCGAGCTGAAAATGTACGCGAGTTTTCGTCGTGTACGCGGATTAGGCTACATGACTGTTCCAGAAATGTTGGAGACAATGCACGAGAATGATCTATTTGATATGTTTAGAGTGTTTGCTAATGTGGTACATATCCTTGGAGTGACACCTGCTACATTGTATTCTGCAGAACGATCATTCAGTGCGTTGCGCAGATTGAAAACTTACCTCCGCAGCACCATGGGGCAACAACGTTTTGAACTCCAGGATTGTCCAAGAGTCTTGGTTTGCCGCTCTCACGTTCTTCGCTGCTCTCTTACCTAAGCTCAACTAGACTGCAAAACAGTCCGTTTTCCAGGAGAGTTTCGCGAGAAGCACGTACGGTTGAGTAAGGAATAAACATGTACATATAATCAGTGACGCACCTGTAAGCCCAGGTCAGTAATATTGGGACACTCAGCAAGTGTGAGGTCACGAAACCTTGGGTTATTACCCAGAGCTGCAATTCCTTGGTCCTGAATATTACACCCTGACAAATCTAGTGACGTCAGGGAGGGGAGGGTACCCAGCAGTTCAACACCAGCATCAGTCACGTGTTCACAATAGCACAAGCTAGCATACACGAGATTGTGACACCTGAAAAGGAACAAATTAACAGAGTAAGTCACAAGAATGTGGTAAAATGATTGAATAGTTGACTATGACCCCTGTGTGCAAACGGCCTAATTCGAGCACTCGGTGCGATCGGAAAAAAAAAAACAAAGTACAAGGAAGAAGACTGTGTCAGTTTGCCGTGACAATCCTTACCGAGTTTGAGTGGCGCGGTCAAGAACGGGCTAAATTGCAACTGACGATAAATCGTACAGAGCATAGTATCACATGGGTCGCACGTCGTTTGTAAGTAGGTAGGATGAGGTGTTTCCCGTACGCATGAGATAAACAATTGCAGCATCGTTCTCAGGGTTCTCTCCTTTTCTGAAGGCAAGAGAGAACCCTGAGAACCAGGTTGAAACAAGAGCGATAAATGTTTAATGGACAGATTAAAAATTCAAAATAATATTTCGTATGACTATAACTTTGCATTACGTCATTGTCAAGACTTAGAGCAGGCAACTAGTTTAAGAAATTAGATGAAGCTTTTATTACCCCTTTACTTAACACTTATGCTACTTCTTATTGCCTGAACCATGGATACTATCCATGACCAAACTAAACAGGCCCATGAACTCAGCTGTTTAACCAGCTTACCTTTGCGCTATTCTTAGTAAAGTAACGTCACTGACTCGCACACAGTTGGTTAGATTAAGTTCTTTTATTTTGGAGCCTGAAGGTCCTTCAACAATCTGCCTCACCCCCGCGTCTTGTATTCTTTGAATAAAATAATAAGAAGCGGTTCAGTTTTAAAGAGGTGTTGGCATTTTTTCTTTGTTTTACAATTCTGAGAAGTTATAACAAAACACCCTAACATTACTGATACTACATAATGAGTGAAACTATCATACTCCGTTACTATACGATATCTTTCATCTTACCTAACACAGTCAGCAACATTGACGACATTAAGGTGTTTTGAGGCAGCTAGAGCCTTTAGGGCAAGATCAGTAATTCTGGGACAATCCACAAGGTAGACGTGATCGAGCATGGCACAGCTCTTAGCCAAAACTTTAACGGACGCATCGGTTAGACGATTGTTTCCTTGAAAATAGAAACAAACTGATTACACTGTGAAGTGTCTATTACATTCTATACTAATTTAGACATTAAGAAGGCGTGATCATAACAAATTTTACTCGTAATGAATTAATCGAACAATCGATCGATTAATCAACAATTTATTTCAGTCTCTAACTAAAGCTGCCATCAGTCCTACTAATGGGGTATACTACACTAACACACATGCAATATATAGGTATACTTTAATAAAAGCAATAATCCACTTTGTGGATGTACTACCTCCAAATCATTATTATTATTATTACTATTAATTACGCTTTTTCTCGGAATGTTAATTATTTTAAATTTCAACAAAACTGACAATTTTAGGATATGCATATGTTTACTCTTACAATAGTTACAGAGACTTTCAAAAAAGTCCTTCGTCTGAATTAATATGGCAACTCTTCGTAGCCTAGTAAGCTCCCTTAGAAACTCCTAACAAAAAAGTCTGCTCCTCTCGCCTTAACTCGTGAGGTCGACTTGTTGCAAGTCTAATAGTTACACAGTGACAGGGCTTGCCCGCCTACAATTCGACTTTTTTGATGCACGAGGCACCCATGGGCCATCAAAAAGGAACGTTTAGAAAGTCCACTAAGTGACATCCTTAAACGGAAACAAAATATATTATAAACTGGCTGTGATAGCCTGGTAACTAGCAGAGGGGAGGAGTAATCTGTTAAAGTGGGCTTCCTGTGCACCTTGCGTTTGGCATGTTACTAACCTTCCACTCTAACCTTGTGTAATCTTCTACATGATGCAAGACACTTAAAGGCAGCGTCAGATAAAAAAGGCGAGTTTAAAATTGATACATTCTTTAAAGTGCGACATTCAGATGTCAAGGCCTGTACAAATAGCAAGAGACAATAAAAAGGCTGAGCCAGGCAAAGGTCGTAAGAGACTGATGGAAAAGTCATGCGATCGTGTTACAAGACACGAAAGAATTGTCCTTTCATCCTCTCTTGTACAAGCCCACTTTTCCCGCTACCGACTACTAACTCCACGCCACCGAAAATAGTAATGACCACGGTTGTCTCACCAAAAATGAAAACAGTAGTAGCAGATAATGAGGAGTCTCTCAGTTTTATTCACTTTTTACTTCGTTTGGGGGCAATTATTTTTATCGAGCATAAATAAAGTAATTCACCAGACAAGTGACACGATCGTAAGACGCTTCCATCGATTACGTTTGTTCAAACACACCCTGCATCGATATAACCTCATATTTATTAAATTCGGCAAAAGAAATGTAAGGCTATTGAGTCAGTAAATCCGCTAAGTTTAATTGCAAGATGCTGGTCACATTAGAGGACTACAGGTGCATCATAAATAAATTGAAAAACAAATACCTTGAGCAACGTAACTATGAGGACCCATAAGATCGATTTACTTCCATTAGAAAATTTCGTTAATTAATTAATTTGACTTTTTTATTAATTTAGCAGCGATGCGACTCAAACAGCAAAATCCAGAACGAATCTGATATTTTGTTCGAAAAAAAAAACCCTAACTGAGAATTGTTTTCAAAATTTCAACATTTGACCACTGACACAACTTCTTAAGCCGTCATTTTAGCCCCTCAACTGCGACATCCTTAGAAGCCAGTTTTGGCTTTTTTATTTAAAAACTAATATATAGATGTAGCCAGGGCTAAAAGCGAAGCTCTCGATAATATTTATTGTTTGTTCAAACAAAATATAAAATCGTGTAATGCTAAGCGCAAAGGCAACGCCGGAGAACGGTAAAAAACAACAATAGGTCTAATTAGCAAAAAAGGCAACTTTGCAGGTGCAGCACACTTTTTTTTTTACATTTCTTTGCCGTTGTTTTGCACGACTACAACGTGAAGCTTCCAGAAACTTCTTAGTTAAACGCTTTATGAAGGAAATGTCGTACGTGTTCTCGTTCACTATTTTTTCACTGCCGCTCATTTTCACCTTGCATTTGTGGCCGCTAGCATTTCTCACTTTTTCAACGCCGCTACAAATTTTCATGTTGTTCTTCCAACAAAAAAAAGTCTCCTTTGTTTTTTATCTCTTTTCTCTCGTTGAGCTTCGGTGGCCTGCAGCCTAATTTCTCTTTTTCTTTGTCTTTCTCCTGCTCTATATTCCAAATACTTTAGACAACAAGAACACAGAAACAATTTCCGCTTTCTGTTTTCGTCTTTATTGACTATTTAGTTTTCTCTGCTTTACAAGACGCCGGTGGCTATGCGATTTCCCGCCAAAATAACCTCGAGTTGAATTTGGGTTGCCATACCTGTTGATTGAGTTATTTTATATTGGTATGCCTGTGGTGCGGACGGACGGTCACGTGATTACCAAATTTTCTCGGATGTGTAGATTACCTCATTTTCTTACCCATGGTGCTCCGCTACTATCAATTAAAAGGTGAGGCCTACTGAGAAGCCACTTCATACCTGAATACATTCATCTCGAAGACCCGGCAACTCATTAAGAATAATTGTTGCTAAACAGGAACAACCCATAGATATGAACTTATAACCGTCTTGTGTAATCTGAAGACAGAGGGAGATAATGAGAAATCACTTGTATTAACATCACTGCATCAGTAGGAAGAGAACTGTAAAACCTTAAAATAGGGGAGCAAGCGTGACGCATGCATGCATGCATCGTTAAATTTGGAAAAATAAAAACTATTACTCATATGTTGAATTTCTGTGAGTAACATGGTACGTACTGCGAACGTGTTCCAGATCAGAACACGTGTCAAGTGACTGGTTATAAAAGGAAAACTAGAAAACCGTCACCATAAAAGTTGGGCGCGATCGCCTACTAAGTGCGGTGGTCGTTCACAATAGGTTACAACTATAGGGCTTTGACTGGGAAAATTTTGGTATCTTGGAAAGGTGGTCGCTTTTGGGAGGTGGTCGCCTTGGATAGGTCGTTCTACATAACATGGAGTTTGGATTGTACGATCCAGCGTAACAAGATATTGATAACAGCTTGACAAAGCCCTTTCATTACCTGTTCACATCCAGACAAGTCCAGGTGTACTATTTTATGGCATCCTTTTCCATTAGCCATGTAACTAAGGCCTTTGTTGGTGAACTTTGTACAGTAAGCTAAGCTAAGGTATAACAGGTTTGTACAGTACCTAAAAACAACTCAAACTACGTCAGTTTAACTGCAAAAAAATATACTTACATCTTGTTCACATTACCAATAAACAGCCTGACACTTAATTTAACATCAAAAAGAGATGCAAGACGGATATAGTTTTGTTTTTGTTTTATCGTTTTTGCTGTTGTCACCATCAAACGCGTGAAAGAGTAAGCTCAGAAATGAAGTACCTCAATAATGAAACCATTTTCCCAGTCATAAATACTTCTTATTTTTCGAAGATTTGAAAGAGAGGAATACCAGAGTTTGACCTTTTACGTCCAAGAACATACATCAACAGCTCAAAAGCTTCCAGGAGAAAGATCACAAATGGCGAAAGTCGAATACAGTATTACAAAGAAAGATACTGTAAGAAAAAGTTTTAAAATAAATGCTCTGTTCTTTCACCTTCCAAGATATCTGAGAGAGGCATCAGAGATCGGCGTGTTTGCCAAGTTAAGGTACAGCAAAGCCGAACAGCCCATGGCAATATTCTTGATGGCTTCATCCTAACAAAAATAACGTTTTCAGATGAAACAATACCTTTCTTGCTTGATATAAGCAAAATCTGGTGTAGTAACAATTAAACTGATCTATAATTAGAAATGTTATAAGTAAAAAAGCTAACTTACCGTTAACCCAGAGCATTCAGATAAGTTCAAGTCTTGAAGATTTCTGCATTGTGCTGAAAAATGCGATCCAGATAAAAAAAAAATTATGTGACGGACATTCGACAGATTGAATGGAATATTGCTTTGCCTGTCAACTGTTTTTATCAACTGTTTACCACTTAATAACAATCCCTTTTACATCTTTCAGTGATTATTTTTTTCACAGATTTTTCCGTTTCTGATCACGCTTATATCCCCCGTCCAGTTCTTCATAACTTCCTACAGTCGACCAAACTTGAAAGCAGTCTGCCGATAACAGTACAACTGACGTCAAGTCTTGCAATGATAATCGACAGAAGGCGTGATAGCTCAGCTGTTTTGATAGAGATATACTTGCTTTCTTTAACGGACAGCAGCTTCTGGTCATCCAGAGTTGATTGGCACTATTGCGACGATTAAAACGTCTTTCAGAAATACAAATATTTAGCAAATCGTATAATCAAAGGAATTATGGAGATCTTCTGCCTGGGAGGATAAAACCCTTCGAGATCTGCATAATTTTTCCGATCATACGCACTGAAATAGAATCCAATCATTGTTTTATTAGTTATTCAACGCAATTATTACTTCGGCGGAGCGCGAAGTAAAGGATTCGCGACGCTCAGGAATGTATCAAAGTTGACTTTTTTTGACAAGATTGGGCACGCAAAGTCTGCAGGTTTTCGGTTTCATTCGGCTGTTTGACGAAGTAAGAGCCGAATTAGTTCGAGATATCTCGAGATCACTTCGATTTCTTTGATTTATTCTCAAACTTTTTCGAGGAAGTAAGAATTATTTGCCTTTCCCGGGGTTTGAACTGACTCACCTGTGTGACCCGTAAGATCAGAGGAGACTCTAAGTTGAGGGATTAGCCGATTGCGCTACTGTTCGGGATATGAAAAATAGTTATGAAATGATGCACTAGTTTCGGGACAAGATTGGGCGTGCAAGTTCGTGACTTTTCGGCTTGTTTCGGCTATTTCACGAAATGAGACGGACTACTTCGTGATATCTTGAGATCACTTCGAGTTTAGTCTTTAATTTACTCGAGGAATAAAAAGAGGGTATAACATGGCCGCGCAGAGACACGAAATTTCTCTTCGAGTGTTGAAAAACATTTCACGAGTGAGCACTCCTTTCGAACTGTTTTATGCTGAATTTTACAGTTACAAAATGCTGCACAAATGCTAGTTTTTGGCAAGTAGGCCTCTTGGATGTTGCTCTTTTCAGGATAGCCTGACAAATCCCATAATTTCACAAATTAACACCTTACTCTTACCATATTTCATCTATTACTATTCCATCGCATTTACAATTAATAAGTTCCACAACCACGACGCCCAAGTGTAAGCTCCGTAGCGTCTTGTTATACACTTAATGTCAGATCCCAAGGGAAACAGATAGTTTTGTTTTCCTGAGAGTCCTGATCAGGACTCTCGGGAAAACAAATTAAACTAACTAGTTTCCCGAGGGACCTGACATTAAGTGTTTTGTTATATTTCTAGACTTTCACTTCAATAGCAACAAAAGAATAACCGGAGCGAACCAAAACAGTCGACTCGGTACTTATAAAAACACAAATTTAATTTTCAAAACCACTGAATAAATGATTTACAAAGTACTTTCCTTATATTATCTGAATCTTTTTACTCCACTAGCTGCTGTTTCTATTCTGGGATAACTTTAAAAATCGTTGCTCTTTAGCTTGAGGCTTCGTGTTTGTGTTGTTGTGCTCATTCACGAAAACGAAAACTGGCAGTGTTGGTTTTCCCCGCCTTCTGTCACGCCACTTTCCACCATGCTTTGATCACGCTGTTCTATAATGTATCCCGAGCGGGCTACATTGCTTAATAGAGATCTTTAGATTCAACTACGATCCGTACTTTTTTTTTTCGCGTATTCTCAAAATATAGACTCCCAGGAAAGCTTCATTTTACCATTTTTCACTGGAAAAGTTAGTACTGTTACGTTTAGTGAAGGAAGTTACACCCTCTCCCGATCACAAAATGGTAAAACTTCTAACATTTCATAACTTGTTTCCGCCACTTCGACATCTTCGCTAAAACTCGTAGTAGAGTGACGACGGCTATCACATTTCCCCGCCAAAATGACGCTGGTTAACGCGCGTACACTACTTAGTATTGAGAAAATCTCGTACTCGTAGTCGTACTTGTCTACAGGTCTCTAATGTATCACAATCGGGATACATTTGATTTTAGTCAAGGCCACGTGATCAAGAATCAACCAATGGAAGTCCCTGTTTAGTTGAGTGAAAGTCTAGGAATGTAACAATCCTACTTAAAACATACTTTGATCATTGTTATGTTCCCGTCTTTATTTGTCTGTTTCTTGGCAAACCCAGGATATAAAGGGATGATTAGTCTAGCAGATATTCTCTAAACAGCAGTTGTCATTCGCTGAGTGGTATTTTTGATATTCTTGCGATGTTTTTAGGCAGACGTTCACCTATTTCTTCTTCACAAAACGTGTGAAATTTGCCGCCATTTCTTCAGCAGGCGGCGTGCGTCACGAGATTCGACCAATCAGAATGCGTCATTTGTAGAGCGAATTGTAGATTTGTTGTAGAGTGAAATTTTCGCTTGATTCCAAGATTGTGTAGGTAACTTCGACACAATACTGCCGTGGAAAGTTGTTGGAACACTTTATCTTGATAGCAGTTGCGTTAGTTTTAAATATTTTGCTTTCTTGAGCGTTTTTGACAAGTTTGAATTGCTCGGTCATGTGCAAGCCGCCAGGATGATTTGAGTGTTATTTTCGCCGTTCTTCTTGGATTCATTGCTGGTTACTGTCAGCGGTTTTATCGGATTATTTCGATCAACTTGTTACTTCAACCTTTCTTTTTTGTAAATTGTGGGGTCTACCCGGGTCTATCCCTGATAGTTTCCCCGTTATGAGGCGTTGAAAGTATCTTGGAATGAAGAGATTGTCTCAGCCAAGTAGCACAAGTCCCGGGAAACGGGCTGAGAAACTTGTCGAAGCGGAAGCCGACGTGAAGCGAGTAACGCAAAATCCAGGAAGAGTTTGTTTCATTTTAAACCAGAAAAGGTAAATAAGTTTGAATATTGTGATAACCTTTGGAAACAAAACATTTTTCACAACCCAGTGTCTTACGCGTGTCTTTAAAATAATTTGCATGCAGTATGTGCTATGTGTATGCACATCCTCATGTAAATTTACGCGAGGGAATAAATCTCAACCAAAACACAAAACCATTATCGAAGATCTAGACAACATCATACAGGATTTTAAAACTTTGAGGTTAGGTTTATAACAAAATCGATACACTGCGCTAACTTCAAAGAACGTACAGACAAGATTGTGGTTTATTTCTGCGGCCGTAGCTTCGGTGAAATTGCTATTGTGCTGTAGCTGTTCGGGCGCTACTTTTGCCTGTAGAAGATTTATTTGCTTACAAGGATTACAAACAGTCACTGTTTGCAAAATAATATAAAATTGTCGATGAAAATAATATGGTTACGGTAGAGGATGCAAGATTTCTCACCTTGCTCTTTGTTAGTGCTTCCCCTCCTTGCCCGCCCGGTTAATAAAGTCCATCAAACGTTACTATTAAATGGACGAATTTTATATTTAAGTAAATCCAGGTCTGAGCTACAGGTCTCTAAACAGTACCTAAAATCTTCTGAGAAGCAGGAAATCGCCGCCTAAAATCGGCTTAAATCGCACCTTCGATCGTCTCCGAATCGCGATCAACTTATTGAAATTACCTTATGAAGCCAATAACAAGCATCTAAGGCCAGTGTGAGATCTTGAAAATTCTCCAAATCGCTCTCCTCGGTAATGTTTTTCAGAAAAGGGAGGAGTGTTTTGATCCCGGGTTATGATTTCTCTCTCTCACGAGATGCGAACTCGACTGTGTCACGATTGAAATGAGGCACATAAACAGTTTTACCCATGAACTTTTGTGGGTCCTGACGCACACCGCCTGGAGCGATAGCCTTTTCGTTGACGTCATTTAACTGGGTATCACATGTCGCAAAAACGGTAGCGGGTCTAGTTTAAAGAATTAGCCGAGGCTCTTGAGTCAATCAAAAACGAAAAAATATTTGAATGAATAATGATTACATCTACTGATGAACTGCACCTTGAAATGAGTTATGTCCTTCAAGTGGCTACCGAAAAGTCTGACAAAACAAAAAATGTGGCCGGACACAATCAAGGACGTACGCGCATGGTAGACGAGGGATTCGCAGGTAGACTGAATACTACCATGTATTCAATACAATAATGCTATTTCGTTTGTGCGAAAGGAAGATCTGGAACTGAGTAAATTACCTGTGAGTTTAAGGCTTTCACTTGTCAGGTTATAACAGCCTCTCAGGTTGAGATGTCCCAAAAATGGACGACATTTGTGGATCAAACTGGCTGCAACTTTATTTGTTGCACTGTAAACAACATCAAAACAGTTAAAAGAATGTAACAAATCAAGTGCATAATTACTGTTTAGTGTTAGACACAAGGAGAAGCAAAATAGGCATATTCACTTTAAAAAACGTTTTTGACAATAATCTTTTATTACCTGTGTTTTACTTTGGAAAAGTCAACCTAAAAAATAAAAGAAGAAGCATTGTTACAATATTCAAATAAGTTCACATTGTTGTTGAATATATATAGTTACCTTGCTCCACAGAATATTCGCCTGAATCAACACTTTCCAGCTCCTACAGACACGCGCACATCGTCCCAAGTCACCTACACTCACGTGACTGAAAATCTGAAGTTTGATGCAAAATGAGCGTTATAACATGAAACAATGACTTTAGGTATTAGACACTAGATGCTCTTTTCACGATTACTTTCACTTTCAACAGTGAGCTCTCTCACTGGACTCTGTAAAAAGTAGTATTGTACTGGCCAACGTACTATGTAACCTGCCTCATTTATCAACAAAATTTGCAGGAAAAGATCGTCTCACAAAACGTAGTTTACAACGCCGACAAAGACAACAGCTTTGCTGGTAGCATCCCTAATGCTACTTGACCTGACCACCACATTATACTTACCCGCAAAGCGACATGTCTTGGAAGAGATGAAATTTCATCTTTGCCATCAGCTCTGACGCGGAAGAAGCCTTCATATCCTGTGTCTATGATCTCTCCTCTTTCAATCCTCTGCATGATAGATATGGAACTATTTTAAAGTTGTTCTGTTCATTTCTCAGCATAGAAATTGAGATTATCACTCATGATTCAACAAAGGCCGCCTTCACTTGAAGGTTTGAAATAGTTTCCATGTTTAAGAAAAACTTAAATCAGTCAAGAAGACTATGAGGAGTAGAGAATGATAGTGACTATCAAGCATTTTTCTTTAAATTGTTGGGTCTTTGCAGCTGTAGCCAACTCTCTCACCTCAAAGTATTCCTTGGTCTTTCTTGCGTCCACAGCAACACTATGCCAAGCATCAAACACCACACGTAACAGTGAGATTGCCAACACTCTCCGGATCCTTGTTGATATCACTGAAAAAAAAAGTATCCTAGCTTTTACGGCAGTTGGTTCAATAATCTTGAAAATCACAACAGCGAGCAAACAACTCACCATTCTGCCTTTCTTTTCTCTCTGAGACCCATTCCTATGTGCATCATCATATCATATTTAGTAAAGGATCAAAAACATGAAGTGCCGGTACAGTGACTTCAAAGCCTGCATAACAGGCGCTTTATGAGCGGAATTTTGCGAGAAGCGCAAGACGAGGGGAGAAGAAAAAAATCAAGCCGCGCTCGCCTCAAGCTTCGCGCAAAATGCCGCGTTCGCCTCGTTGGCTCATAAAGCGCCTGTTATGCAGGCTAGTTCATAGACGTTGTTTCTTTCTTTCTTCCAAGTAATTAAAGAGAAAACAGAAGGTTTGCGAACAGGCTAGTAACATTTCGTTATAAACAATAATTGTATTTATTCTTCCCAGTTAGCTTGCAGTCAACCACTCATATTCATGGCCGGTATAACCTCACTTACTCTAAAATTAGTTGCAATAGCAACAGACCTGATTGTGTCAGTGGGTAAAGGCCTCCGCGTAACCTGTGTGGCAACTACAAAAAGGGTAGAGGGAATCAATAGTTCCACCTGAATTAATGCCAAGCAATCCCTCGCCTGCGGACACAGACGTATTTCCGGTCGTCGCTTCTCTTTTTGGGTGGAGGGAAGCAAAGACCGGAAATACGTCTGGGTCTGCAGGCTAAGCCGATCCCCTAAGGACGCACAAAAGCCAAACAACAAATAAAACTACAGCACTATCAATTTCATCCACATTTTGGCAAATTAATTGAGCTAAGTATCTAGAAAATACTGAGGTTGCAATAAGGATACAATCCATGACTGAAGATGGATTCTCTGAACTCTCTGCCTGTGCCACAATCGAGCATTTTCCATCTTTTTGGCCAACAAAGCTTTCTTTCTTTTCATGTGTTTATGATAACGCATCCAGGCACTGTTCATAGACGAACAACAATAACAATATTCGAGAAAAAAACCCCATGCATGGCGGTTACAAAGATAATCATCGTAGGGTTTTAACATTTAACACCCTAACAGCGCAAAAACGTCAAAACATGTGTGGAGACGTACAAGTCACTTTTTCCGCGCGGTACTGGGTCCGAGTTTACTTGGCCGAGTTAATCTCGGACCTAGTTAGCTCAGTTGAGTGGGGCGCAAAGTGAGGCGTGGGCCCGAGTTTGTTCGGGACATACTTTGGTCGGGAGATGTTCGGCAACGGTCTGCCCATGGTCGGAACGTACGCGGCTGGCTATGGCTATGAAAGCAATAGTTGTTGACCCGTGTATCAAGTATTATTAATCTATTCACTGAATCTTATATGAGTCAACCAAACTCAATTGGCTCGCTTGTGGGACAGCTCAGGTCGTGTAGGACGCATGCACAGTCTACCATTGGATGATCATTAGGCCGATATTCCTCCTCTAGTTCATTGCATCCGATATTAGTGAACCTATCTCAAACCACCTACATGTGCGACTACGAGAGTACGCATGCACACTACAGTGGACTTGCAGTTTATTAGTTTATATATGTGGGAAGTGTGACGTCATAGATAAAATAGATTAATGGTTAATGGCACCTGGCTTATGACGTTATAGGTGAAAAGAGCAGGTTGTATCGTCTTGCCAATTTTTTCCCAAACCTTAGCTGAAATTTGTCCCGTCATTCCTTTAAGATTAGAATCTTTCTGAGTGTCTCAACTTTATCACGTAAATGGCCGATTATTGGGTGCTTATTTCTTATCAAACCTCCATCGAGTTACGATCGCGAGCAAATAAAGCATTTTTGTCAATTTTATCAGAGAGCATTTAGCTGTAAGTTTAACAGAGATCGACACAAGACAGTGGCTTGTTCTAAATGATTTAATGGCGAAGAGGGAATGACCAGCTTTTCAAATGATTTAGAGGACTTGGAACGAAGAACCCAACTATGTGCAAAAAATGATGTAAATTAAGATGACGACGAGGACGACGAGGATAATGACCAGAACGAGGGCGCGAGTAACGAAGGAACTGACACTACTAATTTGGGTCAAATAGAGGAAGAGTGCCGACGGACTATCTCGGACTACAGTAAAAAAGGGCGTATAAGAACCTAGATTTTAAGAACCTGCTAGGCCAATATTGTCCATTTAGACCCCTTTTACATTACACCCCTTTTGCTTTAGCCTACAATTTTCAAACAGGTTCTTATTTTGAGAAATTCAGTCAAAGACTGAATACACAAGTTTGATAGAACAAGCTCTACCAGTTAGTAAAATAAAGATAAAATCAATCCATATAATGTTGTTTTAGTTCTGTTTAACTTGCTCAGCTTGGTATAACCTTTATAAATTGCTTTAATATGCTTTATTAAAGGGATTTTCATAACATACTATGCATGCAATACCAAAAATAGGCAACACCCACTAATGTCAAACACACTATTTATTTTTAAAAATAAGAACCTCTTTAAGAACCTAAAGTAGCCTAATTTTCTACTTAGCACTTTTTTTCTAAGAACCTTCTTAACCTCGCTTGGAAAAACTTACGTTCTTATACGCGGGTTTTTACTGTATCTCCTATCTGAAAGGGTATTCTAATATCTTTACTCTAAAAAATTTGAGTAATCAGAAAGCTACGGTGAATACAGTTAAACTACAAGAAGAGCAAGGTTATGCTGAATGCGGGGTGAGATTAAGGAACTTCTATTTATCAAAGTTATTGTGTATTTATCCTTTTCTTTTCGAAGAGAATCTTAACTGCTCTCTCACCTGAAGCAGGACGTTTTAAGTTTTCCATTGTACAAATTGTAGGCTTTTTGGTACATTTCAGGAGTTGGCTGAAAATTGAAGGCAGAAAATGTGCACTATTCAATTCAAAGTAGACAAACTACAAATTATAGTAGTTGCTAAAAAAATATATCTACGTGTCCCAACTGTTCATCAGTAGGATGCCTAAAATGCGTGCAATTCCACAATTGGTTTCGGCTCCATTAAATCCTATACCAATTGCAGAACATTTTAGGAGGAGCCACCCACCGTGTGAACACAGTCGCGGACAACACATATAAGTGAGGAAAATAACGCAAAGCAAAACTAAGACGTTATTAAACGAACTAAATGTACACGTAACTTAAATAAATAAATAAATAATGCACGCGCCCAAAATTAAATTGCGCGCGCACACGTACCAATAGAGACTTTAAGATCCAACGACGCGACGGCAATGAGAACGTCGCTTAAAAAGTGAATTTGCGTTCTTTCAGTCTTTATCGCAATTATTCCTACCCACTTACTTTGTTAAATGTAGGCGAACCCTCCTCGAGTTGAATTCCGAAGCACCATATCCAAGTACAGAAAGAGAAATAAAATTTCGTCGTTGATTTTTTACGTCCTCCATAAAACGCGAAATTAGGCATGTTCACGTCGTAGTCGTACAAAAACGGGCAGAGAAATGTACAAAAACGTGTGGTGCACGTGCAAAGTTGTTGTTTTGCTTATTAAACTTATTGTTTTTTTGACGTTCTTGTTGCCGTCCGCGTCGTTGGATCTTAAAGTCCCTAATATACAACTAAAATAAAAATCCAAGTAATAAATAAGCAATGTAAGGATACGATGGTGCAATTTAAGCCTGGATTGCTAATCTCATCTCCCGAAGGGCTGCACAATACTTCTCGACGATAAAACCATGGCGATTGACGAATTTATTAAATGAGTTCTGAAGTCGATTGGTTTCAAAGCCAGTCTATTCATGAAGTCAACTTTGGACGTGTAGCATATCTCACCAGTTGAGATATGTAAACACAGTAAGCTGGATTGGCGGGAATGTTGCTGTCCATGAGGAAAGTTGACAATTCGGAATGCAAAGTCATCTCTCTTATCGTAGATGCTGATACGGAAAGGTGTGGTTACGTCGCCAGTCTTGATATTTGTGTCGAGATAACACACTTCAGTAGATGATGTGGATGTGTCCTTAAGTTCCAATTCCGACAGGTTAATCGCGCTGATGCAATTTCCAAAGTTCACATTGTTAATACTGAATAAGTCGTCGATGTTGCTGAACTGGATGGCTTTTGTAATGTCTTGTTTCATTGTTTTGACCATAAAATCGTACTCAAAGGTATGAAGGAAGAGATCAGCCAAAAACATCAGTAAAGGTTTATAGTAGAGTGAAAGGGGAGTTTAGTGATATTGTTCTGTTAACACAGACAGGTGACCGAGACGTTAAAACATTTGAAGACAAGTCTTAATTTTTTCACTCAGGTCACTTACGGAGCTTAAGCAACCACGACAACAACAGCAACGGAGAGTATCAAATAATAATTGGTTTCATGAGCACTGCATGGAGAACGTAAACACAGGACGACAATATTCCTTTCTCTTTTTAAATTGGATAGCGTACTTTATTAAACATTTAACTCCCGAGAAATTAGCCGATTGGGCAAGGCTAATTGAATGCGACAGAGTTTGAAAAGACGCGCATTCATTTTTTTATTTCCACTGAAGGTTTTACCACCATCGTCGTCGTGGTTCGGCTTAAGCCGGTCCCTTGCATATACCAAAATAAAATTGGAAGTAAGTGTCTAAAATTAACAATCAACAATTATCAAATAAAAAGCAATTTACCTGAGAATTTTCATCTTCATAAGACCATAAAAAATCCAAGACAGAGGCCTGGACAACCCTGTTTTTAGGCCGGAGTTTTTCATCTATGAAGGAGTCCCATCTTAGATCATCCAATACGTCTTGATAAGTGGTGATGAGCTTTAATTTATCGAGAATAAACGCTTGTGGATCATCAGGACAGTTGATAGCCAATGCACTTACGATGGCCTACAAAGAAAATTGCTGTCAAGTTTCGCCTTATGTAAGGTAATCCAAGACAGTCTTGGATTTTGGTCCTGCACACTGTTGATTCCGGATTCCTTATCAGTGGAACTTGGATACCAGATTCCAGTGGTTAACGGGATCCCAGATTTCTTGAGCTGAATTCTGGATTCCAAAGCCCAGGATTCCGGATTCCCAAGCAAAAATTTCCCGGATTCCGGAATTCGGATTACCTTACATGGGGCGAAAAGTTAGTCAAAAATGGAGTTCTGTCACTTCCGCTATCATGAGGTATGATCAAACAAAGCAAAACTACAGAATATTACTTAATTAATAAAAAAGAGGTAATGATCAGTTACAAACGATTAAGAATGGCTAATGATGAAAAAGAGTATCGAGAGATAAAATGACAATCCCAAAAATTAAAGACCTGTACTCTTGTAAGTAAGTGAAACTCGCTTAAAGCAAGAACAAGGTCTTCCATTCTCGTCACAAAGAGCTGAAACAGACACCGATTCTCTTGAATTTTCTCGAAAATTTCTCACATTCACTCTTCACACTTTTGTTCTCACCGAAACCTGCCCCTCTCTTTCTCCAACGTTGAGCCACGCGTACTTTGGAGCACTGAGACGACTGTAATACCCAAATCAACATTGGAGAAGGACAAACGCGAAAAAGTGTTTCAAGATTTTTGATAAGTATTGCCGGTCAAACGCCGTATTTCTTAATCTGAGGCTGATCCCAGTTGGACTCCCTTACGGCAGGTAGCAGAGAACCCTGGGGACGAGGTTGGGGACTGCCACGCAGACGTTCTCATAGCTTTGACACGCGTTCCTACCCCACAAACGTTCGTGGGGAATGTTAAATTCTGTATTTTAATGTTTCATCGCTACGATGCTACACGATTTCAACAAAAACCGGACATGTATTTAACAAGCTTCTCTGGAAATCACAACTCCAGCAACCCAACACACATGGCATCGTGGGACGTCTAATACGTACACTTCCGGTTAACTTAAACAACCTAAACATCCAGTTTAATATACTACATCCCTCCTTTGTGTCTTTTTTAGAGCATAATGGAGTGTCCAAACTGAAACGAGAACGAAAACTTAAATACTAGATAAAGAAATCAAATTCAGTTCCTTATAATGTTAAACATGGTACAGCTATAAGCCGCTCCACCAGTAACAAAGTCCAGTTATGCCTTTGACAGTTCATAGCCATCAAATCGTTTAGGACGTCTGGATCACTTTCAACAAAGTGCGGTTTTGACGTTCTACCTCTTCATTCGCCTGGGGCCACAGAGGGGGAGTTGGTCGGTGTTCTATCCCACTTTTACAAGGAAGGCTTTGAACTCCTCTGAAACGAACTGAGGACCGTTGTCTGTTTTAAGTGTGTCGGAAACCCCAAACTGAGCAAATATTGGCTTGAGGCTGTCGATGACCTTTGTGCTCGTAGTTGACCTCAGGATAACTACTTCAAAATATCTGCTATAATAGTCCACTATAACATGTAAATTCTCTCCAGAGGGTAAAGGACCCATTATGTCTGGAGCACAATCTCGCCATGGTCCACTTGGTGGGTAGGCTCGTGCCATAGGTTCTGGAACGGAATATTCACTGACAGCTTAACAGCCATGACAACTCTTGCATAATTTGTCTGCAGCTGCATCTACCTCCGGCCACCACACCTTACTACGCAGTCTGCACTTCGTTTTCACAATTCCTTGATGTCCTTCATGAGCCATTTTCATGACATGCTCCTGTAACACTTGGAGAATTACAATTCTCCAACCACGCAGCAGTAACTGACCATAAGAACACATTTCATTCTTCAAATGCAAATAGGCAGGTACATTACAAGCACTCCAGTCTACCGTACGTACACATTCTTTCACAAGGCTTATTTCTGGGTCTCCTGCTGAAGCTCTCTCGATCTCGGAGGGTGTCAGAGCACAAGGAATGCTATTCCCAACTACGCTGCGAACATGGTCATAGTTTTCTCCATCACCACAGGGTACTCTACAATTCAGCTTTAACAACGCATCTGAAATGTTGGTCCTTCCTGGTCTGTAGATGACCTTAAAGTCATAGGCTTGCAAGCGGAGAACCCACCGTTCCACAAGAGCGGAAGGATTTGATTTCGATGAATATCCGTATTCCAGTGGCTTATGATCTGTTTCAGTATTTATTGGGATTATTCATTCCTACCTACTTACTTTGTCAAATGTAGGCGTACCCAACTGGAGTTGGATTCCTAGGGACCATATCCAAGTTCAGGAAGAGAAATGAAATTTCGTCGTTGCTTGTTGACGTTATCCATAAAACACGAAAGTAGGCATTTTCACGTCGTAGTCGTATAAAAATGGCGAAGAAATGCACAAAAAAGCGTGATGCACGTGCAAAGTTGTTGTTTTGCTTATTAAACCCATTGTTTTGTTGTTGACGTTCTCGTTGTCGTCTTGTCGTTGGATATTTAAGTTCCTAATGTTTCCAAAATGTTTTCTGCGAAACAAGAGGAAGTGTTGCCATTTGACGTTTTGACGTAGGTATCACGTGGACACGCATGCTCGATGGAAAAGCAAACAGTTGCTCGCAGTGGTTTCTCTCCCTTGGTAGCGTGGCGTCTGGCCTGGAGTAAGCACTGCTCGCATGGTACGATGCTCCAGGATTTCAACATAAACCGAACATATACGCAACACGCTTCTCTAAGGCTGGTTTCACTAGCGACGGAGTGGGAGTCGGAGTCGTAATCAGAAGTGTAGAGCTTATGATCTACAATGGAGGACAAAAGAACTTTGCATTGTGTGAAAAAGCCCTTCCAAGTAATTTTTACATAGGACTATGCTCCTAATGACTATTTTTTGACCAGCTTTGGGTTCATCTCTTCGTCCCCCCACTCCACACCCAGCAATGATGTGGCCAAAAGAAGCAGTCATTTCCAGCCATTTGCTCAAAATTCAACTCTGTTTGGGGTGGAAGGGGAGGGATCGCTACTTTTACTAATATCTCTGAAAAGGCCTCAACACTTTTGACCTCCATTGTTGTGAGAACAGCGTTCCGATCCTGCTTACGACTCCACCGCTTTCGTTCCGCCTATGATCTAGTGAAAACCAGACTGCCAGAGTCGAAAGCAGAAGCCGGGAAGAACTAAACCAATCACAAAGTGTGGGAACGTGCATTGCGATTGGTTTATCCTTCCTCTTCTGCTTCCGACTCCGAAAATCTGTTTTTCACTAGATTATAAGCAGAACGCATGCGACGGAGTCGTAAGCGGAGTCGGAAGAAATGGAAAGGCTCTAATTCTTCTGACTCCGATTCCGTCGCGCTTATAACTCTGCTTACGACTCGGATTTTTGATTTCACTAGGCCATAAGGCTCTTACGACCCCGTCGCTGGTGAAAACCAGCCAGTAGGCATCCCAACACCAGCAACCTAGCACGCATGCCATTGTGGGACGTCTAAAACATATACTTCCGAACAACTGAAAGATCCGGTTTAATACACTACAGGGAATATATATAACTTGGCTGCCTGTGGCGCAGCCCAGTTTCTGAAATGAGTTTCATTTTTTTCTCGGGGGGGGGGGGGGTCCTTCGGGGGGGTTGGAGTGGGGTGGGGCTGCCCCGCGGCCCTATGTTTTCCCTTTTCTCGGAGCAAGATCACAACTGGAAATTATGACTCCGCGCCCCCCAGGCTCTCCCCCTTTCTCCGACCCCCCGTCCTCCGGATGTAAAAAACTGTAGGTCCCGTTTTTATACCCTACGGGGAAATTTTTTTACCTGGGGTCCTGGGGGGCGACCCGTGTTTTGAAAGGGTTTTTTTTTTTTTCGGGGGGGGGGGGGGGGTACTTCTGGGAAGTTGTAGTGAGGGTGTGCCGTCCAGCCGTCCTAATCTTTACACTATTTCAGAGCAATATCGATAAGGTTAATGTAACAGAGTACACCCGGGGATTTATGTCGTCAAAATGACGCTATCAATTATTAACTTAGTAACGATAAGCATGTTAATCGAAGGCAGTCATTAAATGAAGATGTGTTTGAAGCTTGCGTACTGCGCTTTATAATCAATATGCAACGATGAGTATCTTTGTGGTTTTTCTTCTTCACTATTTGTTGAAGTTAAACCTTCTGATGAGATTTTTCCCTTCCAAAACGTGATTGCAAATCTCTCTGTGTTTATGGCTAGAGTGTGTGTATGTGTACATCCATTCGATAAAGACGTTTGCCAAGCTATCATTGGCACTCTTTATCAGTGCCATTTTCAAAAAAGGTAGGATGGTTCGCTTTTAAGGTTTCTGTTCTTTTTACGTTGAAGTTTAAATCGTTTCAAATGTGACGGCCAATGTCTCTTTTTATCTTATTGCGATTCTTGCCTTGCATGTGAAAGGTTTTCCTTACAGGAAAGGAATGTCCTGGGGAAATTGTGCTCATTGTAGATCACCGCGTCAAAAAAAATGTATAAATATATATAACAATCTAGTCGAAGAGCTGGATTATTTGGTCCAAGACATTTTATTGCAAGATTTTTAACCGAAACACAATTAAATTAAGCTACAGGTACAGCTGCATGAATAACGTGAAATCAATTATATCTAGCCATAGCGAAACCGTAATTAGCAAATCTACAAATTCTGATAAAGATAAGAAAAATTGTAACTGCCGAAAACCAGACACGTGCCCCATGGATGGAAACTGCAACCTAGAAAGCATAATTTACCAAGCGGAAGTCACTTCACAACCAACTAAGGAAACCTACATCGGACTTTGCGACACTTCATTCAAGTTAAGGTATAGGAATCGCACGAGCTCATTTCGCAATGAACGGTATAGAAACGGAACTGAACTTGGCAAACATGAGTGGAACTTGAAAGATCAAAACATTCAATAGAGTGTTTTCACATGACGTCACGGCCGCCATATTGGTATCTGAAATATTTTGAATGAATAATAAACATAAATAAAGTGTACCTTCTTCTGAGGGATGTCAAACTCCTTCTGAGGGATTCCCTTTACAAGTAAAAAATAAAAACCTCCTTCTGAGGTTTTGATCCTTTATACTCTTAGGGACTGGTCAAAAAGTATGGGGGGAGGGTAAGCCTGAGAAGAGAGGGGGTGGGTCATGAGGTTTTGAGCCTTGTGTAAGAGGTGGGTCGTGCAATTTTCAGCAACCCTGAGGGGGTGGGTCACCCTATTTTATTACATAGATAGGCACTAACTATTAACGAGACAGTTGACCACACTTGTTATATAAAACATAGCCAGCTGGAATCATTGCTAAAATACTCAAAAACCTGTTGTGCGAGAAAATGCAAAGAGTGACAGGCCTCACATCTTATACTGGCATGAAACCCTTTGCTAACCTTTTTTTGGTTCTAACGAGCATGTCCTTTAATGATTTTCCTTTTTTAATTTGTAAGGAAATAATTGGTGGTTCTTTAAAAAATTGCTGAAGTTTCGGCCGTGAATTTAACAGTTGGGTGATGTAAGTTTGCTTGTTCAATGAAGGCTTCGATGTCTGGTTTACTCATGTCCCATAGGGAAAATATATTGCGTATGTAGGATTTCCAAACTGTTGTTTTAAAGACGGTTTTGCTTAGAGTTGTTGTTTCAATATATGTCATGAAAATGTTGGCAAAGAAATCAAAACTGCTGTCTTTGTGCCCACTGCAGTTCCATGGTTTTGTAGGTAGTACTTTCCATTGAAGTGGAAGACATTTTCTTTGAGGACTATTCTAAGCATTTCCGGCAAGTAATGAGCAGGAATGGGTTGTCTTTGTAAAAATTTTCATATGCTTTGTGACAGAAAATTTCAATATACCCTCGTTTTGCGGTATATTTGTGTCAAGACTCATAACGTCCATCGAAACAAGAAATGTTCGGTTTTTCACATTTGTCTTTTCAGTGAAAGACATGAAAGGTATGATTTCTGTGATTTTGATATTGGTTGTAGCAGTGTATCAACAAATTTTGTCAAACACAAAACATGGTTTTATTGGATTATCAAGAGGAAACCAAACATTCATGTTTTAACAAGGGGGAGGGCCATGGAATTTCCAACCTTGCTTTAGGGATGGGTCAGTCATTTTTGTGCCGAAGGGAGGGGGTGAGCCATATGTTTTTTATCAACCACTTTTCCAAATGCTCCGGCCCAAAATATATCTACGTGTCCCAACTGTTCATCAGTAGGATGCCTAAAATGCGTGCAATTCCACAATTGGTTTCGGCTCCATTAAATCCTATACCAATTGCAGAACATTTTAGGAGGAGCCACCCACCGTGTGAACACAGTCGCGGACAACACATATAAGTGAGGAAAATAACGCAAAGCAAAACTAAGACGTTATTAAACGAACTAAATGTACACGTAACTTAAATAAATAAATAAATAATGCACGCGCCCAAAATTAAATTGCGCGCGCACACGTACCAATAGAGACTTTAAGATCCAACGACGCGACGGCAATGAGAACGTCGCTTAAAAAGTGAATTTGCGTTCTTTCAGTCTTTATCGCAATTATTCCTACCCACTTACTTTGTTAAATGTAGGCGAACCCTCCTCGAGTTGAATTCCGAAGCACCATATCCAAGTACAGAAAGAGAAATAAAATTTCGTCGTTGATTTTTTACGTCCTCCATAAAACGCGAAATTAGGCATGTTCACGTCGTAGTCGTACAAAAACGGGCAGAGAAATGTACAAAAACGTGTGGTGCACGTGCAAAGTTGTTGTTTTGCTTATTAAACTTATTGTTTTTTTGACGTTCTTGTTGCCGTCCGCGTCGTTGGATCTTAAAGTCCCTAATATACAACTAAAATAAAAATCCAAGTAAT